GAAACACTATCTACAGATTTGCATCGAAGCGTTTCTTATGATAGTGATTTTAATCACTGTCAGATATCATCTATACTTGTCCCATCTATGCCTCGTCCACACTGTGCCACGACCCCACTGTTCAACCGTTTTTTTATTATTGCTCTTTATACCTATTTAATAAACATAAATCCCTTCACAAAAAAAAAAAATTGTGAGTAGCTAATATTGATTTAACAACAGACGAAAAATTGATTCACAGTAAATTGCGTAAAACGATTATATATTATGTTTATTTTTGTTTTATATGACATCGACGATTGTTCAATCATTGACAAACTTCGAACATACTACATATTTGAGATAATGATTTTTAATGATACTAATTTTGTGGTATAAATACCTACTCTTCTGTTCTAAAGCAGGTGTTTTACTTGTGGGTTGCAGAGTATATAATTGCGTACTCAAAATTTTTTTTTGTCAATTGGTCACGTAAGGTAATTACCTACCTAGTATTCTAAAGGCTATCAACATTTAAATAAGAGATTAGAATTCCTTCATTTCCGTCTAACCATATACATAGCGATTCCTTTAACACTAGCAATTTAATTTCGAGCAATAGCTTCAATAGTATACATGTTTTGTGATCTTTTTAGGTATCGTTGAGCAAAATAGGTCCAGTAGAAGCAAAGTAATCGTATATATAGATACACATAAAAAAAAAAAAGAAAGATTGAATAAAACCAATAGCTGTTCAGCTAATGTTTATTAACTTATAAATATATTTTTGATTTGATGTAGGGCATCTTTAATGTTTTTGCCTCATTTGAATCCACTTGACTAATAATAATCAGTCAAACAGATAGTTTTTATACATAAAAAAACTATAAAGATAATTATTATCATAATATTATTATAATATATAAGTATTTTATACAATATAAATTACATATATTTTATTTTAAATGTTTTATAATAGATTCTAGTTTTGGTGGACTCCTGGAGTACTCAGGATGGAAAGCAAACAGCCTAAATCATTGTGGTGTGTTCCAACATTCTACTAACACGCATAGCTATCATCCAACTTTCCTACCAGTAAATGGTATTTTTCTAATTATTCCTCAAAAATAACTTTACTAAGAATTAAAGTTGTGAGATTTTTGTTTAGAATCCCATATGAATACTTCAATGGCTGCTATACCAGTTTCCAACTGTTTGATACCAAATCATCATTCAAATTATGTTGTATCATCAAATTTAAGCAATATGAGAATTCGTCCACAAGACTATTACTTAGATTCACACATTTAATTTAAAATAAATATACTTAATATGGTATACTGTTTTTACCTAATTGTTATTGTTATGTTAATTACTAGGGATCAGTTGTTTTTACATTTGTATTTATTTTAATGTCACTAACAATGGAAATTTAAACTGTCATTTTTATACAATATAATTATTTTTTAAGTATTTAATAGTTTTAAAACATTTAATGAAGTATTATTCAATATACATGTTGATGATTAAAACAAGATATTTCATAACTACCAATTCCTCATTAAATTCAGTAATATATCTAGTATTTAATTTATATATAATCGTCAGACATTATGTTATTTCTGACCATATCATTGCTTCTTTCTTTTTTACCATATAGTTTTCTGAATATAAGTAAAGTATTTAATAAAATTTTATAAGTCAGAGTCCCATATTATTTTTTTATTATAATATAAGTCAAAATAAATTAGTACAAAATGGTATAAAGTATTTTTTGGGAGATAATTAAAATTTTATAAAAACAAAATAATACTTTCATTTTTTTGGTTAAAAATTCAAATTTTTCCAATTATTTTCATTAATTTATAACAATATTAGTTATTAAAACTGTAAAATGTAATATTTTTATAATTAAATTTTTGCTATAAATCATCAAAAATATAAAATAAAAATATTAACAATTATTATTATTTTTAAATGAAAATAGATTTTTAATTTAAAATAATATTATTATTATTAAGAGGAGAAAAGTGAACATTTGTTGTGTGCAGGAAACTAAGTGGAAGGGAGAGAAAGCAAGGGAAATAGGCGAGGGCTATAAAATAATATACTCAGGTAAGTCTAATACAAAGAATGGTGTAGGGATAATAATGGATGAGGATATGAAAAGTAAAATAGTTGAAGTAGCTAGGAAAAGTGACAGGATTATAGTCCTAAAATTAATTTTAGGGGGAAAAGTGTTGAATGTAATAAGTGCCTATGCACCACAAGTAGCATGTGATGAAATGGACAAGGAAATGTTTTGGAGAGATTGATGAGGTGACGCTAGGAGTACGTGGCAATGAGGATGTGGTGATAGGTGGAGATATGAATGGACATGTAGGCAATGAGAGGAGAGGATATGAAAGAGTACATGAAGGATATGGTTTTAGTGGCAAGAATGACGGAGAGAAAGAATCCTAGATTTCACAGTATCGTATGATCTTGCTGTGGTTCATACTTATTTTAGAAAGAAAGAAGAACATTATAGAACTTATAAGAGTGGGAGTAATAGATCATAGATTAATTGAAGTAAGGCAAAGTTTAAGATAATAGGGTACTAAAGAGTGATGATGATGTAAAAAAAAAGTGGAAAGAGTATTTTGAAAAATTACTAAATGAAGAGTATCCAAAAGAGATATTAGAGGATATCTCATGGAACAAGGGACTTATTAGGGATATTAGTAGATTTAATTAGGAAAAATGAGGTATAGAAGTCTGTGGTATCAATGAAAAAGAATAAAGTAGTAGGACTAGATGAAGTGCCAATAGAAGTATGGATAATATTAGGCGGTGTTGGCATAAAGTGGTTGAAGGAACTTTTTTTAAAAGTCTTATTAGAAGGGAAAATCTCAAATGAATGGAGGAATAGTATTGAGATGCCGATATTTAAAGGTAAAGGTTACCTACAGGAGTGTGTAAATTATAGAGGCTTAGAGGTAGGTGAAATGAGGAGTTCAGTGACAATAATCAAGGATATGATAGGAGAGATAGAAAGATTTAAGTATTTATGATCAATTGTGCAAATGAGCGGGGGTATTGACAAGGATATAAGATACAGAATTAAGTTTGGGTGGTTAAAGTGGAGAAAAGCATTTGGTGTGTTATGCGATAAAAGAATTCCAATGAGGCTGAAAGGCAAATTGTATAAGACTGTAGTGAGACCAGCTATGATATATGGTTCAGAGTGTTGGGCAGTTGATAAGAAAGTAGAGCAGAGAATGAGTGTAGCAGAGATGAGAATGCTTAGATGGATGAGTGGAGTGACTAGAAAAGATAGGATAAGGAACGAACACATAATAAATCATATAAACACTATTAAGGTGAGGAAAAGAAGAAGAAGAATTTTAAATAATATTATTACCCAAAAGTGATCAAGTTTTATTTTATAATTTTTTATTTATTTCAATGTAAAACTATTGATAATACTTTAGGTAAACATTATAGTATCAACTGTAAGTTTTAATAGTTTTAAACTTTCATTTAAAAATGGTATATGATATGTATCAATTAGTTATTATATTAAGTGCGGACATTATTATTAAAAACATAAATCAATCAAATCAAATATTTACAAATAAATTATATTTCAACATAATAATTACAGTTGTAAAAGGAATAAAATTATAGTACTATAGTTAAAACATACCTTGATCCATTATTATGGATTATCCATTACATTATTATATCTAAACAACTAAGAGCAATTAAATAAAATTTAGTTTAATTAATATATTTTAAAATCAATTAAATAACTCATAAAAATTACTTAATGATCCCTAAAAGAGACCAAAATCCTAATAATAGGTAGATCAACAAAATTAAAGAACCTACAAAAGTAAAACAAAGAGAAATTGCTAATCTTACACTAGAATGTTCTATATGATCCCTGAGCAGAGTATTTACAAGAACTTTTGAAATTTTTTCACCATCAAAATAAAAACATGGAATAACATTTATAACAGCTAAACCTCCAGCAAACATCAATAAATACTTACACAATTTTTCTAAGGATTGTGGTAATCTAGATGATAAGTAATCAGTCTTAGGTACATACTCTGTTACAGATACATACAACAAATCTGTAGGTTGTCCAAGAAATAATACTTCATTTCCTAACTGCCGTACAATAACTATTAATTTTGTTAAGTTGTTTAAAGATGGTCGATAACAATGAGCTGAGGAACAATGATTAGTATAATCACAATATGACAAAGAATTTTCAATTACTTTTCTCACATTAAGACACGAATAATGTGGTAGTTCTTGAGAGTTAGATGATGATTCCACATATTCAAAACATAAATCTGATAATGTGTTTGAATCACAGCAGAGAAGTGTACCATCAGTGTTATGCTCAACTAAAAACAGGTTAATACAAATTATTTAACATTTAATTTTTAATTTTGAAAAATATGAAGATATGTATACCATAAGACTTGAAAATAAATTCATTTTTTTTCTATCCAACAATGTTATCAAATAGAGAAGAGGATTAGTGTAATAAGTAATACAATTTTAATACTAAAATACAAGTAGAGAAATATTATGCTACAAGTTTAGTGAAATTTATGCTAATGAGGAGTCAACTATATCTTAAATTGTAGAGTAAACATTTTTAATTTTTATAAGTTTAACTTAGGTTAATATTAAGGTACTATACAAAAAGAAAAATTTTAAAAATAATGCTATATTTAGAAATGTGCTTTTATATTGTAAATAAATTGAAATGATAGGCTTAAGTGATGTCCAATTTTTTGATAGTATAAAATTAGCCATGCAAATAATTATTTTTAATATATACAGTAATATGACAAAAATTAAAATAATTTTGATCACTGTTAACCATCTTTAAAACTTTTTTGAAAAATTATAATATATCAAGTTGTTATAAAACATATATATTTTATAATATAGTTTTATTTTGATAACTCAACATTTAATTTTTTTCATTAAGATTTAAATTATTGAAATTAAATTGGTCAACAAATGCATTTTTTAATATTTTACCATGTTTCGTTAAATCATGCTCTTGAACGAATTCAGATGATAAACAAAATCCAGATTGTGTTTTTCCCAAAGAATACTGTAAACATTTTGACCAAGTTTCATAATCATTTACTTTGCAATCTCCTAATTGAGTTATAACATCATTCTCTAGAAGTCCTCCTTTACCATATACACCAGATCTCTAATAAACAAAATAAATTCTAGTAAATTGTATGTTAATACCATAATATAAAGTACATACAGCAAGGTACTCCATGTTTTGATAAATTTAATAACTTTTATATTTTATTATTTATTTATAATAATAATAATATACAGTACATGTGGAAACACTACAAAGTTGTGACAAGTAAAGATAATATCTGACAGTGATTAAAATAGCTATCATAAGAAATCCTTGATAAAATCTATATTGTATTTAACTTGAAAAAATTGGTGGATTATTTCAAAAGCAACATCAATTCCTATTTCTTTAATTTATCCTGATTAGTAGTTTTTTATTTATAAGCGTAATAAATGAATAAATACTTATTATATTAATTTTATTTAGTATGACATTGATATTTAAATAATTTAATGTTGTAATTATTATAGAGAAATTATAAAAAAAAAACTTAAAGAAATGTTCTATTATTCTGATTTTTGTTAGTTGATTGTAATTTCAGTTATGAAATAGAATTTTTAATTTATCATAAAATTTAGCCATAGGTGGCTAGAATATTTTTTTTGGAAATGACAACTACTTTTTTTTTAATATACATATTGGATGGACATTAAAAATTACAAAACTTTTCCCTAAAAATATTTATAATTGACACATATATTCTGCTTTTTAAAATACATTTTTTTTATCAAATAAATCTAAGTATTAGTTAAAAACTCATTAAAATTACTCTTATATAAATCATCTTTAAACTGGATCACTTTGGTGTAAAATAAAATCAATTATTTGAAAATTATTATTTGACAACTCACTTACAATAAAACTAATGTTTTGACTATAGAATTATTTAAAATGTTTAAACCACATTCGATATAAACGCCAGTGCAACACCTTGATTTAGTGATAAACTTTATACATTCTTAATTACCCTAATCATTTCCAGCTAAACCAATTTCTCCTAATGAAAATAGTGAAAATAGTGTATTAAAAAAACTTGCAAATGAACAATCATCTAATTATGAAGTCATATGAAATGACTTCATAACGAAAGTTATTTAAAATCTTCCTGAAAAATCTCTTATTTCATTGACACATATATACAATGTATCTCTTAAACAGTCTTATTTTTAAACAACTTAAAATCAACAGTGAATTATTAAACCTGGCAAACCACTTAATTATCCACCATGTTACAGATCAATTATGGACATATTTATAGCTAATTCCTAGGCTGTATTTAGTTATCATAAGCATTAATATGCTTAAGAATAGATTAATCAAAACTTATTCATATGAATCAACTATAAATATAACCCTTAGCCTTTTACCTGTTTTAGGTAAAAAAATTGAAAAAATTATTTTAAAACATCTCATACTTATAAGTCAAAAAATGATATTATTCCTAATTTTCCATTTAGGTTTTAGCAAAACACTTGACAATTGTGTCTAGATATAATTGACCAGTTACAATTTTAACAGCTTTAGAGACTAAATAACATTGTGTTGGTATGGGAAATTTCATACCTGATCTACATTAGTAACAATTACTCCAGAACCAATTGAATAAAATGGTATCATCATAACAGGCAATAATATTAAAATGATGTATGCCATCAATCCTTGAAAAACATTATGCCATACACCAGCAGACATTACTCGAAGTTGTTTACTACTAGGTAACAAGGTGATATCTTCTAAATGCACATATGCTACAGGTAGTATTAAAACAAGTATCATACCAACACCTTCGACATGCATATCTTCTCTGTAAATATTTAATCATAAGTTAAACTAATTTTTATTTTGAATAAATTTCTCAATAAATATACAGATTGTTTCTGTTATTGTGAACCAGTTAATAAATTAAAATATAAAAATAATATTAGGTGTTTTTCTTTTTGTAATATGTTTTTATTCAATTTATCAATTATTAAGTATTTCTTATGTTCAAATTTTATATCTCATAAGGGTAGCAACATTATGTTTTTAAATGGAAACATATACAACTAACAAGTTTGTTTACTACATAATAATCTATTAAGAAAATAACTGGCTAGTAACAAATTTTAGATTATTATTTTGGAAGTTATTAATATTTTTATATCTAGGTAGGAGTGCAGCCTAAAACTGTCTAGTGACAAAAATAACAAAATACATGTCTCTAACTATTGCTTTATATTTTTAATAACTTCCAAAATATTAGTCCAAAAGTTGCTATTGACCAGTAATTTTCTTAATTAGATCTTTATCAATAATCATTATCCTATAAATAAATAAGTTAATGTATTATGTAAGTTTACATATAAAATTAAAATCGCTTCCCTTATACGGGATAAAGGGTAAACATAAAAATCCAGCACAGTGGAGATGTGGCATAGTTGGGTCCAATATAGATTTAATCTGACAGTGATTAAAATCACTAACATAAAAAACACTACGATGCAAATCTGTAGATAGTTTGGTTATAGATAGTTAAGAAATTGATATTTAATAATTTAGTATTGTAATTTTTACAGAAAAATTATAAAATATTATAAAGTACTTATTACTTTTATAACAAATGTATATAAAAGTTGAAGGTCTTGATGCAATACTTAAAAAAAATTGTTTTTTATTTATAAATGTACTGGTCTACAAGGAATTTTCAACCGAAACCAAAACATACTTTTCTGAACCCATTTTCGCGCCGATATCAAATCTATAATTAGTTTCGCATATGGCCTAAATAATAACAAAATCCTTCTAATTAACAAATATTTATGTTTGATTAATAAGTTACGAATGAATAATCAACAAATATATTTTAATTAAAATTAAGTTTAAAAAGTTCTACTTTCTAAATGCATTTTTAAGTTTTGAATCCCCCTTGTATAAAGGAAAATGGTCCAATTTGAAAAAAAGTATGTCGAATGAAAGAGATGTATAAATAGTATATCTCATAACAAAATTGTATTGATTCATACATTTTTCAAAGAGTTATAGAAATATAAAGTTAAAAATGTAAAATATAAAATCAAGAATTTTAACACAAAAATAGCATACGGTAGCCATTTTCACCATGAAGACAAAATAAAGTTCGAAATTCTTTTTTCCATAAAAAAGTATATTACATAAGCTTTAATTTAATATATACAGAGTGATTTTTTTATCATAACAAAGGTATATATAAAAGTGTCAGTATTTCCGGAACACTTTCAAAAGATAATTTTTTGTGAAAAAGTTGTCATTTTGAATTTCCCCCCTCCCCAAGGGCAGGTAGAGGGTCAGATTTATAAAAACAATATACAAAATGATAGGTAAATACCTTTTGTATCTATATACAAAAAATAATATTAATTTGGTTATTTTGAAAAAAGTTATGGCAGTTTTAAGTAAAAAAGATTAAAAAAATGTCAAAAATTTGCGTTTTTTAAATTTGTTACTTTTCTTGGAGATTTCCCGTATTTATGTAGAACGAAGGAAATTTTTTCAATTTTTGAGGGTAATATCTTTGACTAGATACGATTTGTGATTTTTTGTAACTACCTTATTGCTGCTAAAGCATGGCCAAGTTCATGAAATATTGTTGTAGACATTAGCGCAATAACATAGTATCCAAAATCAGACATTGGTAAATTAATACCCGGAACCTTCAAAAAAAATAATAACATTTAATTAATTTTAAATGAAAAAAGTACTATGAATATTTACAATTGGTTCTAAAAAAATAGTTTGAGACTTCACAGTCAATGACTCTGAATACATTCTTCTGCATATTTGTAAACATGAAACAATAACCAAACAAATGGAAGGTACTATAAGACATATAGTAACCCAAGAACCAAATGTGAACCACAAAGTTTGAAATTTAGGATTCCAAAAAGACATTTTCAATATCATCCGATTAAATGATGTTGTATACCATTGTAGTTGAAAGGGCCCAATAGTTATTCCTGTTTTTTGCAAGAAAACTAAGTATGGATAATGGGAACAAGACTAAAATAATGTTAGAATTACATGAAAAAAAAAATATTAAAAAGAGTTTTTCAATTTTAAGTGTTTAATTTAATACCTTGAAGGTTACATCCAGGAACAAAATGATAACATAAAAAAACACTATGGTAATAAGAATACCAAATAAGTCCATAATACCTTATTGTATTTACACAATAAACTAATTTAATACGAACAATAAATAATTTAGACCTTAAACCAATCTGCATAGATTGCTTAAGTTATAAACATTTTAAAATATAATAATATATTTTAAAATGTCATGTAAACATAACAGGACGTAATAAAAATAATATTACATTTTAAAATTATTGTGATAATATTAAAATCAAATAATATAAAATTTGTATATTATTATTCGAATATAACTAAGGGTTGATAAAAAAAGTAATTCATTGTATAAACTCTATTCAAGATAAATAATTTGTAATTAAATAACTTTGAGGATTAAACACTACAGTTTGAACCGGGAAAGAGATATCAATGATTGCATATCTTATCTTTTTTATATTTACAAAAGTGTTGACTAAAATTGAGTTTTATAGTTGGCTGACCTGTGCTTAAAATCTGATGTACCTAGAACTATAGTAAATGAACATAATTTATAAAATCGTTTGGGTTTTTTTTATCAAAAAATTGGTTTATCGCACCGCCTCAATTGATATTGTGACGATTCATTTGACTATTACGTTACATGTTAAATTAATCGTCTTCCCCGTTCAAGTATCAAAACAAGCTACTCGATTGATACTGTTATGTTAATTGTTTTTTCATAGTTAAAACGAGAACCGAATCATCTAATTAACGTGTCTAAATCTACCGGTTATTTTTACGTTTCAAGAATATTTTCAAGGATAACATCTTTTGTTTTTAATAAATATCTATATTATTCCTTATAACAATATTTTTATTGGATCACTTCGACTATTAACAAGATATAATGGTAGATACAGCAGAAGCAACTAGACGATTAAATGTTAAAAAACAAACGTTGGATGATGCTTATGCAGCACCAGCTAATTTTTTGGAAATTGATATTCTCAACCCTATCACACATGGTGTTGCTAAAAAGCGTTACACTGATTACGAAGTCCGTATGAGAGTAAGTTACCCTAAATACTTTCTGGTAAATTTAATTTATTTTTTAATTTTAAATATAAAAAATATTTTAGACCAATTTACCTGTATTCAAAGTTAAAGAATCTAGTGTGCGTAGGAGATACAGTGATTTTGAATGGTTACGCAATGAACTTGAGAGAGATAGCAAGGTAATATAAATTAATTACTTATTTATCAAAATAATCATACTTTAAATTTACATTTATTAATTATTAAATCGTTCATATTCTTAATTTTTCAATAATTAATTATTGTCATCTATAATCAAATATATAGTTTTCCTTATGAATTTTGTCATTAAGTTGTCAATAAGAAATTTCTAAGGGGAGTAATATAATTTTCATTATTTCAGAATCTTTTTTTATGTAAGTACAAATTGTAGATTTTATACATATTTTAAAAATCAAAAGGATAATAATATGATTTCTTCATCATTTTTTTCAAGTTCATTATTTTTTTAATGTTGATTTATTGATACCTTAATTTAAAAAATTTCAGAAATTGAATTGTTCTTTTTTTTAACAATTAGATTTAGCAAATCATGTTAAAATAGTAAACAAACAAAATATATAAATTGTTTAAAATAGAAATTGAACAATCAATATTAGAACCTATTTAGAATCGTTACAGTTATTGTATTTCTATTATTGCTAAAGTAATGAACCATATTTTTTTATAAATAATAATTAATGAATCAAAAGTTAAAGTTTTTAAAAACTTAAATTAATATACCGAAAATTTTAGTTTTGCAGTAAATACATGTATTTTAGTAATTACAGTTTATTTACAATAATTATAACTTCATCAATATTTATTATATTTAAGAGAAATTACTGTTAATTTGATAATTATTAAATTATTTATTTTATTGTTTAACTTTTACTACGTTTAAATGAATGATATTTTAAATGAAATAAATATATAAATAAAAAAAATTAGTACAATCAACCAATTAAAATATTAAAATGCAAAATATTCACTGAAACTGAGTATATACCATTAATACTGAATTTTGGTTATTATCATTAATTTTATTATTTCTGCAAACAACATAAAAGTCTTTGTAATGATACTTACAACTACCGGTAATTATAAATATCATCAAATTGAAATACTGGTATACTGCCAGACACTGATTATGTTCCCTCTTAGTAAATAGGAAAATGATAGAATTTTCAAATTAAGTATGTTGATATTAATGTAAATGTCTGAAGTATTCATAAAAATTTCACAATAATCAGTTTTCAAAAAGTTATTTCAATATAAAGTGAAAACTAAAATTATTAATATTAAATGTTTTATAACAATTGTTTTTGGGAGAAATTTTCCTTTATTACAGGAGGGATTTTTTTAAAATTAAGGTGCTAATAGCTTCAATTCAATTCGTTTTGTGATCATTTAACATATTGTTGAGCAAAATAGGTATCCAGTAGAAGGGGTGTAATGATGTATACAGACAGAAATAAATGGCATAGTAAAACCAATAGCATTTTAGCTATGTATCGAAGCTAAAATAAGCTATATATATATAGAACTTATTGATATTTTTGCAACTAGGCTTTTTAAATAACATCTATTAATGTTGCCACCAATCTTAAACATTAAAGGTAAAGTATAAAATTAAACATTTTTTGGGAAGAAGAGCTTACTTAATTTCCCTTCTTTCATATTCTTTTCAGCTGTAGGAACATGTCCTTCTAGTTTCACTAGATTATCATTTAAAAAATATATTCAAATATCCAAATTTGCAAACCAAAATTTTGTTGGCCTGGGCTATTGTAAAAGTCTAGTTTCACCTATAAATATTTTACATTAATATCAAATCTGCCATTAGTAATCATTCTTAGTATATCTTTAGATTATTTTAGATATTACTATCACCACATACACATTTCTTTCAAGAAAAAATGTAATAGTTTTAACACAATTGAGGGAGGTCCCTTAAATCAATACTTGCTTAAAATAAGAGAAATTGTTTCTCCCTCTTCAATTACCTCAGCAACTAAAATAACCTATTTACCATACAGGGTAGGTATTTAATTATGACTAACACAATATCTTTAAAAATATAAAAAACATAGTTTTTAAGATACTGAGTGAGTCATAGTTAATCAATCATCTGGTATTCCTCACAAAAAAGGATTTTATTGACGATATCAATAAAGTTTCTGAACTGTTATTTCAGAAGCCATGAATAAATATTAGACGATTGATTAACTCTACTAAAGAGCACTAATTTTTAACGCCTGTCTAACAAAACCCAATAAAACATTAACCAAGGAATAAAAAATCTTTAACATTAACCTCGTCTTACATATAACAATACTTAAATTAGGAGTCAACTTAAATGCACACAGTCACATACTTAGATCTTGTAGACAAATTACATAAATTAAGACAACTTCTTAAGAGTTCCAACTTCGTCTACAGTGACCCAAAACCACCCAATTCCAATTTTTTTCTCAGATGACGGGACACATTGTTTTAATGCAGATCTGAACCTACATTTCTACGCTTACTCTAGAAATATGATAAGAAACTTTTTTTATCAAAACGTAAAAATATTAACAGTTTATGGTAATAACCAAGGTTATTTAACCGTGATAATAACAAATTGGATAATGATATCAGTCAGTATTTAGATAAAAAATATTACCAAATAATCATGAAAAAACGGATAAATCTCTCTATGGTATCACTTGTTCTAAAGTCCGACGACCGTATACTTATCACGTAATACAATCAGTTTTTAAATATTAAAAAGAATAATTATTATTATTATTTATAATTGACAGTGTTATAGTTTTTACATTATTGGATTATTTTGTATTAAATTATTATCAGTGTTGACTAATAACTTAATTTGAATCACGAGTTACAGTAACGAAACTACTTTTAAAGTAATTTTAGTGTAATTTAATTATTAAAATAAAAATTAGTTTTATTTTAATTTTAATTTTCTTTATTTAAAGGTAATTTTGAAAAATGACTCGTTATTTTATTTGCACAATTTATTTTTAAATTTTGCACTGCTCATATATTTAGAATTTAATACTGGAGGATTAACATAAAAAAAAAAAAATTCTTACCTCCTCAAAATACATACATTTCTTAAGTCCTTTTTCCTAGATAGGAGTTTTACCCAGCAATTTCTTCATTAATAAGCCTAAAGATAATCATACATTTTTTAAAATCAGATTATAATTCTTTATATAAGAAGGGTTGAAAACTTTAAACATGTGTATAGAAACTAAAACTTTTTTAACTTGATTTTTGAACATTTTTCAGAAATACTGACAGTTTTAATCACTGTCAGATATCATCTATACTTATCCCAACTATGCCACTGTGCCACGACCCCATTGTGTTACCGTTTTTTTTTTTACATATAATTATTTAAAATGAGTAAAAATTGTTTGCAAAACGATTTCATGGTAGCTTGTAGTTAAAATTTTAATTGTGTTCCTTGAGTGAAGTCTCATTAGAATTATTACTAGTATAAGTGATATTATACTATTATAATATTCCATAGTGGTATTCAGATATCATAGATTCAATAAAACGGAGAAATATAGCCTTTAAAGGACTTCCAAACTGACTAACTCTCAAAAAACTAAGAGCCAAAATTAGATATTTAGTCAATAAAATAAAACCAGCTGATGGCAAATGTTTACCTCTCTAGTCTAGAACCCCAGTGTGAACATAAAGTACTTTGGAATAAAATTAAAATACTCAAAGAGAAACAAACACAATAATACAAACCTATATCTACCAATTGACTTAAAATTACAATTTCTGACCCACAAACAGTGGTTGATGACTTCGACCACAACTACCTGCAATAAGAGCTATAAAACAACTTTTCTAACCGACAGCTTCAACTTCAAGTATAGGAACTCCAAGAGTAATGAAGAGAATCGTAAACAAATGTAAAAATCACAGTCTAAACTTAGATGGTATTGCAATCATCTTTTTATAGCAATTGCCAATCAAAGCAAAATAATATTTACTAAATTTATACAAAAAAAATTTGCACAAACAGATCTCTACAGACCAATAACCTTACTCAACACAATGGAAAATATTATGGAGAAAATAGATAGTAGATAACAGATTAAGATGGTACATTAAAAAAATGAACAAAGCGGCTTTCCCAGGTAGAGAAACATACAAAACAACTTAAAGAACCAGAATCATAGATAAATTAAAAAAATGTCTTTAGCAAAGGTAATCTATTTATGTGTTTAGTCAATGCTCTCCATAACTGATCATGTCAAGTTAAAGTAAACAGTAAGCTGTCAAAACACTACATACAAAAAAATAGGGTGTTAAAAGACTTCCTGCTCTGTGTCACTAGTTCTTATAAATATCAATGACATCATTGATAATGTTCCTGTTCAGTCAAAGTCAGTCCAGGCTTAAAACAAATAATAGCTACAACAGTAGTAGAACACATCCAACAAATACAATAAAAAATTTTAAGATACAATTAATAAAATAGAAAAATGGACTAGTGAGCTTTACATTCTCAGCAAACAAATCACAATTCACAGACTTGACATAGAAAAGAGAACAAAAATATCAGCATACAAATAGATGATAAAACAATTATTAAAAAAAAAAAAAAATTTACAAATAACATTTTGTCAATAAAATGGAAACCCTACTTTAAAAACTTGAGAAAATATATAATACCAATAATTAACATTAAAATTTCTAGCACATTCGTTTGGAGAGTTCACTCTATATATCTTATGTCAATATATAAATCACTAATATTCTTTATATTTGAGGATATTATGAAATATAAACTACCCCAATATTCTTAAATATTTAAAGGTTTATTTAGTTATTCTAGAAGCATTAGATAGCATATAACACAACATGAGTAAAACAACATTACTTAGAGGCACACTATCGACAATTCTTGGTGTTAATAACTTAAAAAATTCAAACATATTATCATAGAAAATGCAGATTAAACTACTTTTCTTAAAAAAAAAAAAAACAATTATAGCACTTGTATAGTATGGATTCTTGGGTATTTTTAAATTGAAGCAAATGAAATGGTAGAAAATACTCAAAAGTGGATTCTATACTACTACAAACACTTGATTTTTTCACATACTATGATAAAAAAAAATCAAAATCACACATATATAGCAACAGGAATAGATATTAAATATGACTAAATAATACAGAAAACTACATCTAACCTTGTTCTCAAACCATACTATCAAAAAGAGAATAAATCATAAACAGAATGTGGATAGGCCACACTCATTTAACCCACAAGAAAAATCCTCCATTATGTCTTGCATATGAAAACCTTACAATTAAATGTATTTTAACTCAGTGTAAGAAATTACATTAAATGTCCTTACTTACTAAATACTCTACGTATAGAAGGTACTTGACTATTAAACTTACCTTGAGGTTTCTATTCGATTCATCTTCAAGAGTGTTTATATAAAAATTTTAAAGAGTGCTCTATAGATATTTATACATTTTAGAAATTAAAAAATATGAAAATAACACATTCTGATTAGTCAATTTCCTTAGTCGTCTGTTCTGTAAATAAGTACCAAAAAAAAAAAAACTACAACAATTGCATTTCAATTTTTTTTTATCAAAATTTTTTACAAAATATCACAATTTTCATTCAAAATATTATTTATAAATAAAGCTTAAAAAGAATAGTTCATTACTGTCGCAACATGAAATTCTTCCAAATGCCTAAATTCCATTGCATGTTTATTTCTATTTTGTCTCATATCTAAATCATCTGCAACAAGGGCTTGTAAATATATAGTTTCCTTTAATTCAGTTATTGCTTCTGACCGATGAAAACCCTCAGCCACCTTACCTAATTTAGTATATACTTTGTTTAAAAATTCAGGACTATGCTCGTAATCTTCCATGATATTGACCATCATTTTTGCTTTGATAATTTGTAATTTAATATAAGCTTTGTCATAGACATTTATGCCACTATATATCTGTTGTTTAGTTTCTTTCAGTAGTCTCAATGCTTTATGTGGAAATTCGTGTTTCATTAAAATAATAGCTATTTCAATATTTATAATTGCGGTCATATAAGTAAGATGGTACTCAATAGATATTAGTTTTGCATCCATTAAAATAGTCAATGCAGCACTCTCATTAGCTTTTGCAATAATTAAATAAGCTCTAAGTTTAGTTAAAATCGTGTTTGTATTGTTGTTTTCAATTAAATGTTTAACTGAGTTAGTTGCGCTAACAAAATCTTCTTTTTTTAAAAATAATTCACCTAATCTTAATTTACTTTCAGTAATATTAATGGAAGCCATTTGTTTAGCGGCTAATTCTGCTTCTGGCCATTCTTGTTTATTTAAAGACATCTTGAAGTATAAATATTGTTCGGCCATTATCCATAAATTGCTATGTTCATAAGGAAACAGCTGAGATACTTCATTTATTAATAAAGGTGCTAAATAATAGTCTCCTCGGGCTATTAGATCGTTAATAATGTTGCACATGGCTATACATTTGCTTTCAACATTGTATACATCGTTATTGCTTTGATCATGTTCTAAAACTAATAGAGAAAAAACTGTTGCTAAACGTTGATAACCATATGTATTCCATATTGCGGCTTTTTGTACATTATTAGTCATGCGTAAATCAGTCAATCCGTTAAAATAATTGTAGATTTCACTTTTTTTTAAAACTTTAAAAACTATTGATGGATTTTCAGCATTTTCAACTAAATATTGAGCCATTGATTGTAAACTAAAAGATGTAATTTGATGCAATTCCAGATCCTTACTTCTAGTCACAGAACATTTTAACATGGTTAACTTATCACCTTTACTTAATGTATACATCCACATTAGAGCATGTTGTAAACAAATATGATCATTTACTTGATGAGCAACTGCAATACTTTCTTTTAAATAATGCAAAGCTTCCTCATTATGATTAAAAGATGCATTTAATAAAGCCATATTAAGAGATGTGTATCGATAACCTCTACTTTTTTCATCCAAATTGGTTACTCTAGATGTCTGACGGTTAAAATAATGTTGAACACTACATAATGCACCACAATATTCTTTAACACGCAAGCAATTTAAGTAACTAAGATAATGTGCATCAAAATGATCTGGATTAGCTTGTAGTATATCTTTTAACTTTTGCTGTAAAGATGCAGGATCCAAGGCAACAGATTCATTAATCTTTAACAGTTTAATTTGCTGAGCAATGAAAAGTTCCACTTGTCTTGGTGACCATGAACCTACCTTTGTATACTTACTGTTAGAATGTTTACTTCTTTTTTGTAAATCTGTTGTTCCTATTGATATTATTAAGTTCTTTAAATCTTTCCATTCTTGTTTTTGTTCAACTTCTTTTTGACTCAATGCCAATCTAACCTTCTTAAAATCCTAAAAAACAATTGTTAGATATTAGATTTTTTTGTTATATTATTGTTATTTATAATATAGTATTCATACCGGTAAATCATTTAGAATAGGACTGCAATGATTTTTTAGTTCATTCATTACTGCTGCAGTTTGCAAAAATAACATTTTATCGAAATAGACCATTACTCGCCTTAAAAATATACCAATTGGACTACCACTATTTATAACTTTACATTGGTGAACTTTAGGCAGACCGCTATCTAACACGTGTACATCTAAATTCTTGAATACATCCATAACTGCATCTAGATTACTGTTTACCATTCTGTAAACTTCTCTATGAAAAGTTCTTATAAATACAGCTGGTAATTGATATTTTCCACAAGATATTAAATTATTAAGCTCCTCGAAAGTCAAATCTGGACACTGTATTAAATGTAAAACTAACATACTAAACGTCCTATGAAACTTCGGATTTACTACTGTTTCCACTTGAACTTTACCCTCTTCAAATTCTGCACCACAACTTCTAGCATAAGTTTGTAAATAATGTGATATAATAATTACAACAAGAATATTATGAGTTGTGACATTTTCTTGAATTTCATTTGCATTGGTATGAGGTATTGATGTAAAATCTTTACAAGCCATGATTACTATTTTGTTCAATGTTTTTCATAACATATAGTAAAATTTAAATACTGTTATTTTTAATATCAGAGATTTCTCGATTTTATCATTGATATATAATATAACAGTAACATAAACAGTGTCACCAACATAATTTATTTAAGTGTATAACAGAAGCTCTTTTTTTTCTAATGTAGTAAGAACATTAGTTTTATTGCAATTGATTATTCAAGATGTTAAAATGATTATAATTCAGGAAAGGAATTTAACTTTATTTGTTGGCAATTAAAATCATAAATTTGTAGAACCAAGAATCTAACGATTAAACAAACCATCAGAATTTTGTAAACAATTATAAGATTCGAGAAAAAATTTTAGTTAGGCCACTGTTAGGGGCGATTATCCCTGGATTAGTGCTATTCATATACGAATTTGATATTTACGAAATATATGACTAATCCTGTCAATGATATTTAATGTATTTCTGTTTTTGTATCTCAAAGTCTAAACAATTTGCGTTTTAATGAAATACCGAAGACCAGAGAATTTACAAAAAACATTTCATTATTATAATATTCTGGAAAACATCCGACCTTGAAACGTATATCGAACTAAATAAATAAAACAAAATATATTGTTAAAAATTATATAAACAAGCAAATTTAGTATAGTACAGAAAATCGCTGTCAAAAGTTAAGTTTTACCTTAAACAAAAATTAGTCTTATAATATTTTTACATTATTTTGTATTTACAATTGCTTAACTAAAATTGAATTTCTTTAGATTGTTGTTCCTCCATTGCCAGGTAAAGCATGGAAAAGACAAATGCCATTTAGAAATGATGATGGTATTTTTGAAGAAGAATTTATTGAAGAACGGCGAAAAGGTTTAGAAGTATTTATTAACAAGTAAGAAATTTAAATGTATTTTGGAACTAATTGCTTATTTATTAATCTAACTTCAAATATTGAATACAATACATTGTCTATTTACATACAAGGTGAATTATTGGATCATAAGTTATAAGAGTTATCAGTTAGATCTGGTTCATCTGCATACAGAGTGATTGGTTTATCATAAACCACTTGATTATTTGCAAAATAAATACAATAAAGTGAAAAAAAAAATTTTTAATTCTTTTAGTTCCATATATTTTGTAATTTATCAGCTAATAGTGACTTTAAAATCATCTCTTGTAACTTAAAGGGGTGTCAACTTTATTTTTTTTAATGGTAAAATACATATTTAAGTGGCTTATAAAATAGAAAATAATTTAATCTAGAAATTAACTAATCAATAACATTTTTTGGACCAGTATATCGAAAGTTATTCTGATTTTTATATCTAGGTAGGATGAAAAATATAGTTGTGAAATGATTAGTGATAAAAATAGGAGTACCCAATTCTCATCTACAGTCCTTTCTTTAAATTGTTAATAACTTCTGAAATACCGGTCCAAAAGTTGTTATTGATTAGTTAATTTCTTAATTAGATTATTTTCTGTTTTACAAGTCAGTTAAATATGTATGTTCCCATTAAAAAAAATTAAATTGACACCACTTTAAGTTGATTTTAACGTCAATATTAGCTGATAAATTACAAAATAAATGTAGCTAAAAGAAATCAAAAAAATATTTTTAAATTTTATTGTATTTATTTTGCGAGTAATCCAGTGGTTTATAATAAATCGATTACTTTGTATATATATGTATTGTATTTGATAATCTAATTAATTAGTATCTATCACTAACAATATATATATTTTGATTTGACCTTGTAGAATTGCAGGGCATCCCCTGGCTCAAAATGAAAGATGTTTACATATATTTTTACAAGAACCAGTCATTGATAAAAACTATGTACCAGGAAAAATAAGAAATACTTAATTTTTGTTCAAAACCATACACTTTATTAGAATGTTGATATGTTCAAACATTTCTCAAACATTTGTGTTTATTACTAGAATACCCTTTATATCAATATCTTATTGAATGTTTTAAGTAATTAATTATAAAATTATTATTATTATTATTATTATTATTTTTTATTATATTTTATCATTTTAATTTAAAGTTTCATTGAATGCATTTTTTTTAAATTATTGAATATCCATCTATGAAATAATTTTTCATTATTTTTTTTTATTATAATTTTATCTTATATTTTTAGGAAAAGATACCTATATATATATTTATAATAATTGTAATTATATTCTATAAAATTTAATATATTATATACAAATTTAAAATAAAGTTATTTATATTACATAAATTAATATCTTAGTTAATTAAATATTTTTTTTAGTCAAAGATAATTGAAAAGGTTTTTTTATTTTTATTTTTCCTATTTTATCTCTTTATATATATAGGACGAGTTAAACCTGTTTTAATAATATACCTTTTTTAGTAAAGGGATGCTCGGTTTAAGTTAGTTTTGTACTTATACACGCAAAAATCGGTATTAGCTTACCAACCTTGCAATCATTACAACCACTGTAACGTTAATTATTTTGTCTACCATTTGCCACTCTCCCATTCAAAATGTTATTAAATAGTGTAATAGCGTTGTAGTCGCATAATATGAATGAATGTTGAGTGAACAAACCTATACCGAGTACATTACTGCTTGCGACCGCATGGCGTTAAGGACACAGTGAACTATTGCGTCAACCTTACGAGTGAACCGGCGTGTTTAGATTTCACCAGTACCAGTCACCACCAGTTGGCGTGATAGTTGTGTGTTGTATCGATCCCGTTGCTGTTATTATTCTCTGAAGCTAAACTAATATTCAGTGTATGGTCAAATTATTATGATAAAATAACAGTTATATTCAAGTATTTTATTATTAGCAGTTCATAAGTACGGTATTTTTCCACGGATCGCCATGGATGTGTGTTTTAGTGCTTTCGACAAGGACGGGTAGTATTATTTACGATACCGATTTAAATTGGGCATAAATTAATATATATTTTATAAATTTTCTTTCTTTCAAACTTTGGGTTTTGTATAGAAATTCATATAACTATTAATGTAGTATTTTACTGTATATATTACATTTTTTTTGTTATGCAAACTTTAAATACAAGTTACTTCACTAAATGATAGTTATCAGCAATATTTAATATTTTATTATCTTTTGCTCTTCAATTTAAATAATAATGTAATGTTATTACCTGTACATTAGGATTAGCGCTATTCCAAGATATTTTTGCAAAATTGGGAGAAATAAACTTTTTAATCTAATTTATTTATTGTTACTTATTACTATTTATTTATTTATTTTTGATCATAATTATATTTATATTTTGGGTTTAAATGCCTAAAAATATTGGAATGTCGCTTTGTTGTTACCTGAAAGCTATGATTTACCAATTCGCGTATCCATTACAAACTTATATGTTGGTTTCCTTAAACTCTATAGTTAAGTTTGATAAGCCAAAAAGATAATGATTATTAGCTATCGATAAAATTGTTTAGAGACCCTTTATTGGAGTGAGCCTCTAATATACATGTCCCAAATGTCTACATAAATATGGAACTGGTTGCCTATTCCTTGAGATAGCAAAGATTAAGAGATTAACCCTATTAAAAATTAAGTACAATTATGTAACTTTGTGTATCAATTAGGGAATGGGTTTTTTTAACTCAACCCAGTGGCGTATTTAGAGGAGACAATATATTTTAGAAGCAAATGTTCATTTTTCTTTTAATGGTGTTTTGAACTTCAGTATAAGTTATTAATACATTTACAATTATTAAAAAAATGTTAATTATTTACAAAGATAATTTACTAGTACTTTAAAATACTTCTTTTATTGGTGTCTGGTTGAATGTTATTATTTTATTTGTATTGTTTGCGAGTACTTTATTAATGTAATTTTGGTATTTTTATAAATTGAAATCTAATAAACTGATATATTTAGGGATTCAAAAGTATTTTAAATGTATTAAAAACCTGTAAGAACTGCTATGGAAATTAATGTTGAAGGAAGATGGGATAGATTAGGAACAAAAATGACATGGACGGATATTATTGAATGCAATATGAGGACTGCTGATTTGTGCGTAGATGATGTGGGAGATCGTGTCAAGTGGAAGTTTAGAATAAGGGTGGCCGACTCTAAGTAGTTGGGATAAAGTAAAAAAAAGATGAAGATTATACCTAGAGCAGCAAAACGTTGTACATATCTTAATATAAAATTGTAACGGGTAGCACAAATTATCTTACGTATAACCATTAAAATAAAATATAAAATAGATGATATCTGACAGTTATTGTAATGATTATAAAAAACACATAATATAGTGCTTAATTTTTAGAAGAAATTGTTAATTTATTAAGATGTTGGGACTAGCGATTTAAAATTTCATGAAACAAAGTAAATTGAAATATTTTTCTGAATTTGTTCACATAATATTTTAAGTACAAATCAAATATGAAAATTATTTATTGAAACTCAAATATTTGTAATGCCTCTTAATATAATTTTCTATTAATATAAAGAAATAATAAATTTAAATTTATTATTTATATTTATTTAAACAATTGTTATATTAAAATAATGTTATTGGTTATTAATATTATTTCGAAACTAAAGGCACACGCAAATTAATTTTAGACCTTTTCATATATAATTTCTAGTAAAACTAGAATTTCAATAACTCTATAGTTTTTTAGGAAGTTTATTATGATGTTTATTAGAGTACTACTTGATCTTCAGCTGCATTAAAGCTGGTTTCGAACACAAACCTATTAGAAATATTCCAGTTCTAAAAATACTTGCATTATCCTTTTATTCCAATTATCAATAAGTAATAAGAAATGTCTTCGTTAAAACATCTCGTTAATTACAAAGATTGAAATGCTACCATTTATACCTAACTTATTAGTAGAATAATTGATTTTTTGTGTTGTTTTATATAATCATAAATAATGGGGCAAAATGATCTCCTTGTATAAATGTATTTGCGAATTTTTCTATGAAATATTTTAATATATATTATCAAAAAATTACAAAATTGTTGGGAATAATTAAAACGAACACATATAATTGTTTTAAATCGTATTCATAACTTTTTCGCAAAAACGTTATAATGTTATACGGTGTAAAAATATCAAATATCAATTAAATTGTCGGGATAATTTTTTAAATTATAGTAAACATTATAGGCTTTAATTTATTAAATTTTTTACTTTTCTGCAAAAGTTGATATTTTTAATCCCTTTGTTGGCAGTTATAGGATCAGATTTTCAATATAATTATATCAAATGAAAGGGAAATATTTAAGAATTTTTTATAAAAAAAATCATTTTGATTCGTTCATTTTTCAAAAAATTATATCAGTCTTAAGGAAAAAGTCATAAAAATTTCAAAATTTACCGTTTTTAAAAACGATATTTTTGGCGAATTTTCCTCATTTACAGGGATTGAGCAAATTTTTTTCAATTTTAAATAGCAATGTCTTGAACTAGATCTCAGTCTAGATCTTACTAGAACTAATCTCAGCTTCGAATCGAATTACGAATACTATGAAAATGGTTTAATAATTAAACAATTTTAAAAATAACTTAATATTGTTTTATTTTAAACAATAATTTAAAACGTTCTTTATTTCTTTAAAATTTTAATGGATAAATAATTTGTATTCAATTTAATATTGAACTTAAGAAAAATAAAAATATTTATATATATTTTTTAACAGTTCGTTGATTTTGAAAGTATTTAATTTATGTTTTGTTTTTAGTTAAAATTTTGGCGAAATTTGAATTTATTGTTTTTAATAGTGATTTTTGTATTTTTCGAAAAATATGTCCCAACAACTACTTTTTATGTATATTCTAAGAACATTTTTTAAAATAGCCCAAGATATTTCAAGGTTATTTGAAAGTCGAACCTATAACGGAAGGGTAACAAATAATTATAAACAGTAAATTGTTATTATTATTTTTATAAGTTTTTAAAAAGGAAACGTTTTCTTCTATATTCCCAAAATTTCAGATAGTTTTATCAAGTTCTACAAACATTTATATAACGTATAAAAACTTTTCACCTTACAGTTAACGATTGTTAAACATGTAAGGAGTAAAAATGGAATATGGGTTAGCCTTTTTCTAAATACATGTATGTTCGTCACACACATACTGTGTACCTTATATATTAGTGTGGTTTATAAATACAGTACTAGGGTGTGCGGGAAAAGTACTCAAGGCCCGATAGTAGTTAAAAGTGTTTGAGGGGGGGGGGTCAACATTTCTTTTAGCCCTCACTAAAAAAATTGATCTTTATTATATAATCATTTTTGTTAGAAAAATTATCCCTCTTCTGTTTTCATAATTATGATTTTCTTTATGCCCCGCAAAACCTTCACTGAAAAAAGAGACTTTATTAAAAATTAACAAATTTAATGTCGATGTACAGCCGACAATAATTTTTATTATTGTAATAATAAAATATCATTGATTTAACAATAAAAAAATTGTCTACTGTATTTTTTTCAATGTTGCACTGACACTGTTTAAATATATTTTACATAAATTATTCTATTAATCTATAAATCCTTAAAATTGTTTGTTATTTGGTGATGAAAAATGAGTTATACAATATTTAATAAATAATTAAATTTCAAAAATTTCAGTTTGTACAGAGTGTTACAAACCTAACTGACTGCCATTATAGCTTTTAGTACTATTATCATTTTGTTGAAATTTTTTTTTAAATATTTCTTCCCCGCTTAGATTTTGTTTAAAGCATATTTTATATTATTTATCATAAAATAGAAAATGTTTTTTATTATAAATTATTGAGTACTCGTTCTAATATTGGCTATCTATTTTAAAATTTTTAAACATTTTAATTTACAAAAAAAAATAATTTTATTAGTTAATAATAAAAATATAATTTTAACATAGTCTAAGAATACATGAATTAATTAAAAATATATAGCAAATAACAGTTGTCAGTTAGATCTGTTCCACTGTGTACACTGAAAAAAACCTTCCAGTAAAATCAACAAATACATTATGAACTTTCTGCTAAGTGTATTATAATTTTTTGTTAATTTTAACATTATTTCTTCAAGAAAAATAAAAAGTTATTTAACTTGTAAAAATGATAATATTTATTTTCCTATAAATATTAGACGTTTATTGATAAAAAAAATAATTTGACCAATGAGTTTTTTAGTGAATAACTACATAATACACAATGTGCCCGGTTTTCTCTTATTCTATATATTTATACAACCTAATCACTCTTTCGTTTTTTTAAGTGGAACTAAAAACACTACTATAAGTTTTGTTATAATTATTGAATGTAATTTAAAAAAAAAGAACTGTATTATATGTAAGATGATTTTGAAATATTTTTGATCATTTTGAACATGGGTTTTTAATATTCTAAAATAAATGTTCGAAAAATGGATAATTTTATTTTATTAATAATATAGAGATGGATTTTTAAACCTAGAAGAGTTTGATGATATTTGCAAGGGACTTTTCCGTAATGACCATGGAATAGTATACAGTCTTGACAACGACAAACTTGAGCACTTATTCAAAATATTTGACACAAAAAAAGTGATTAATTTGATGTATGTAAATTAATATAATTGTACAGTAATTAACTTATTATTATATATTAAAAAATTAGGATGGTTTGATAGACAGGCAAGAATTTTCTACGTGTTGGAATAAATGGATTAAAACAGTATGAAATACTTCCAAGCATTTTTTGTTTTACCTAAATAATAATTTTTAAATTTTAGATTATCAAACCTAAAAATGTTTTTCTTATTATTGATGTACAAAACGATTTTATATCTGGAACTTTAAACATAAGCAACTGTTCAGCTCGACAAAATGGTTTAGACGTAAGCATTTATTTATAATGTAATTTTATTATAAACAAGTGACGTTCTCACAGTTATCTTAAAATAAAGGGGTTGCATACAATTTTTTTTTTACTTATCACTTCAAAATATATCTTTACTATGCACAGAGTAATCGATTTTTTGTCTCTCCTAAAATAATAGTAAAGGGGGCAACGTCCCTTCAAATAATAGCTAATTAAAAATAATTTAACCTGGTTTACCTTTAAACAAGAGAATGTAAAATAGGAGATTCAGCGGTCCATCACCTCATACTCAATAAGTGATTGGAAAAAGCGTGGCCTCAATATGAAGAGGAGCGTGGTCTGGTTTGGGAGCGGTAAAGGAGGGTCGCTAGTGAGGAATTAAAAATGATGATTGTACCCTATTTAAGTTAACTAAAGTTGAAGGGGGACCCTAATGTTGACTATAACCCCCCTCTCATCTTACTTAAACTTACATGCCCCTTCTTGTAACTTTAATGTAAACCTATTTGCTCTCCCTGTTTATTGAAATCTAACTCAAGTTCAAAGTGTACATGTACATGGGTATTATAGCTTAGACCCTATAGTGAATGAGAGGGGTGTAGCTAATAATTCATTCAAAATGGTGAATGGTAATTTCTACCTAATCTTGTGGTGGTGTGGGGTAATGGAATCTAAAATATGTGGAGAGGTTAATAGACCTTTGCGTATAGTTACACCCTACCACTAGACAAAGTTTTCTCCTTTGTAAGAAATAAGATATAAGAGATAAATCTAAAAAATAAAATTATTTTTAAGATACATGTGTAAATGTAACTAACATAAATATTATTTTAAGTAAAATCGAGTGGCTTGCGTTAAAGTAATCACTCTGTATAATAATCAAATATTTTTACACGCATACAAACAAAAATGGTAACTGTAATAAGCTGAGCTTTTCACACCCTTCCCTCGGTTTTTGTGGCATTATTTTTATTTATGAAATTTTGTATTTCACAGGTTATTAAACCAATAAATCAATTGCTAGATACAGTAAATTTTGATTCTGTAGTTTATTCTTATGATTGGCACCCTATAGATCACATATCTTTTATTGAAAATTTGCCATTGAGAAAAATTGATTCTTCTTCTCCAGTAAGATTTAAATAAAAAATTGTTTATAAAATTTAAAACCAATTTATGTAGATTACAGCTGAAAATGCAAAATTATTTGATACTGTTGTTTTTGAATGTTGCCCAAAAATTAAACAGCGATTATGGCCAAAACATTGTATAAAAGATTCATGGGGAGCACAACTTTATAAAGATCTAAAAGTATAATTTTTATTCAAATAATACTTAAACTGTGCTACTATTAAAACTAAGTAATATAAATTTGAACAAGGTTGTGGATAATGCTATGAAAATTTACAAAGGTACCGTGTCTGATGTAGATTCCTATTCTGTATTTTGGGATAATAAAAAATTGAGTGAAACATCATTGAGTAATCAACTTGACAAACTGAACATAACTGATGTTTATATATGTGGTCTTGCCTATGACATTTGTGTTGGTAATAAATTGATCAATTATTAAGATCTATATTTAATTAATATTTAAGTCATAGAAATTATTTGAGAAATTTAATTTACTTAGGTGCTTCTGCTGAGGATGCTTTATCAATTGGCTACCGAACAATATTGATTGATGATTGTTGTAAAGGTGTTGATGTTGATGATATTACAAAAACTAAACAAAGTATTATAAAAAAACATGGTGTTGTTGTTCAATCAAATGAGGTAAAATTTCCAGTATATAAATAATTCTTATTTTAATTTTGTTGCATTAATGTTTAAAACTAATTGAATTTTTAGGTTAAGGCAATGGTTGATGGGCGAGATAGGCGTCCTGAATTAGGCTACAAATTAGCAATTGAACTTGAAAAATCATTGAATAATATTCATTAATATATTACCAGATATATGATTAATAAAAAATAATAGTTGACAGTTATTTTTATTTATTAGGGTAAAAATTGTGGCTCCCTAAGCCATAAGGTTGTGTCAGGTTGACAGCTTGTTTAAAAATATATTCAAATCATAAGGTAGAGCCAACTCCTAATAGTTGGTATAGAATCTAAGGAGATGATGACAATGGTTTATTAAAGTATAATTATGTTTATATTATTCTGTTTTGAATTTCTTTTGTATGTAATGATAATTTATAGTTCTTTTAAGAATTCTTAATATTAAGTAAAAATGAAGTTCAAAAATTAAAAAAATCAGATATATTCTTTATATCAAACAAAAACGTATAGTATGTTTAAAACTATATTAATATAATTACAATACTAATTAAGTTTAAGTTTGGATTTTAAAACAATAGTTTGCTTCAATAAACTACAAACATTATTTTGAATGTTTTGAAGTTGAGAAGAAGTCATTCTTATATTTTTTTTCATTCCATTCTCTGTTTGTAATTCAAAAATAATGATCGTTTCAGTTTTTTGTTCATCTCTAATAAAATAAAGCATAAATAATTGAGTACATTATTGAATCTTTTAAAAAATATAAATCATAATAAAATTTTAGAAAATAAAAAAAATACCTGAAAAATTTAGCTTAAAGTTTTTATAATACCAATTATAACTGGTATAATATTAGTTTTATCATAATGTATTTAATAATTTTTTTTGTATCTATCACAATATATACTCTCCTCTTTCTGGACCATGTAGTTAATACATTTAATGATATAAAATAATAGTTTAGAAGACATAAAATATTTATGTGTAATGCACCATCAAAGTAAAGAGCATACTATTTTTTCATGAACATTACCCACTTTTATATCATTATAAATTTCAGGATTCATTTTATTATACCATAACTTTTGATAAAGAACCAAAAGTAAAATATGATAATTATTTTAGATTTATTTATAGGTCTTAGTAATAATTTTTAATGGTTACTCCAAATTTAAAGTTATCAAATTCTCTGACTTTCTATAATTTTCTTATCAATTTTTTTCATTATTTATATGGAGATAATTAATTTTATCAATCTCCCTCAGTATTTTTTTTTTTTTATTGACCAATTAAAATTTCGTTAATAAGTGAGAATTGATCTCAACCCAAACACTATATTTACTTTTTTCTTAGTCTACAGTTAAGTGATTTTTCGGGAGGGAAGACACTATAGACATTAAATGCAATCTTATTATTTTTAGAATGATTTGATTATAAATAAAATTTGTGGTAAGGGGATGAAAAATACAACTGCTTCCTTATGCAGTCTAAATAAATAATAGGTTTAATAAATTTTTAAAAAGTCTAAACAAAATCCATATTTCCTAAACATTTGATAATATTCTAACATTTCCAGGTTAGTGCAACCATGATTTTCATTCATTATTTATTCAAATAATAATTATGAAAAGCACTATAAATTTTTAAGGTTTAAAGCATCAAAAATTTTTTATTAGTATCAGTACTTAAATAATCTTGTAACTAAATTTAATTTTAGTTTAAACATATTATTAATATAATTATTTTACTAGAAATGGTTATGTAAAAAAAACAATTATGATCGTATAAACCAAAGCTACACAAAACTAAGAAATGTTTGATCAAAACATAATTTATTTCAGAAGGGCCTAGCTTCCATTAAAAATACAAAAGACAACTTTTGTAATAGCCAAAAAAAAATTAAATATATAATAATAAAAAAAAGATGAATGTAAATCAGATAACGTAAAAACATCTTAAATAATTTATGTACAATACCGTTCAACATTTTCAATTTTGAAATTATTTGGAGCTGATGTAAAAATTTCCATTTTTCTAAATAATATTAGAAGCGTTTAAAGTGGAATATAATGCATATTTAATGTGATTAAATTAAAATAATTAATTTATATTATAAATGACTACTAGTCAGAAAAAGTAACATTGCAAGGAATAATAATACACATCCACCAATAAATCTATATACTTCCCATTCATGCACACGTGCGACACCTTACATTATTAATTTAATGTTATAGACATTGCGTGTAGATTAAAGTCACATTAATCTACGCATCTTAGAAGAACAGCGCGCTCTAACTATGCGCGTAACTAGTGTGGTCAAAATATTTATGGAAATATTTTAAAAAATTGTGTAGAACTCAAAAATAAACTATCTAATCAAAATAATGTAAATGAGCAATAGTATACAATATGAAATGATAAATATGGTGAGCAACTTAAAATGAAATTTAAAAAAAAAAATGTCTAGTTAAATAATACAATTAGTTTGTAAATTCACTACTACAGCGCGCCCTTTGTCATAATCTTCATGTAAACTACACAAGCCGAAGTCAATAATCTGCAAAAGATAGGCAAAAAATGATCAACATCCATGTTTTATATGGATAGAATAAAATAAAAAAACACTTATTCTTTTGATATTTTTTTTAATGCTGTTGAATTAAAAAAAAATTAATTTTTGAAATTATATCTAATTGAGAATGAGATTATTAAGGAAAATATATCAATAAATTTATCATTAAAAATGAGCAATTTGGATTTTTTTTTACATTTTTAAATTATTATAACTTTGAAAAACTGAATTACAATAAAACTTTAACAGCTTTTACGATTAACAATTATCATCTTTCATATGATATGCTTTTTTGAAAATTTAAGTGAAATACTATGTTTTATATGATAGTGAGAATTTCACTTTATAACAAATAATACATTATATTATTTCATTAAATTTGAGTTCCCACTACTATTTATAAATGTATAATGAATATTAATTATTTGTCTACTGATATAAATAGATGAATGTTTTCATTCCAACTACTTTATACTAGTTTTAAAATCAACAATCTTTATATTCATGTTATAATAATCACCAACTGGCAGAAAGAGTATAAATTGCAAATATTAAAAGAATTATATTACATTATTCCCACGACTTGTTAAATGCCAATTATTTAGCCAATAAACAAGTAGTAGAAATTATATTTTTTTTTTTATATTTAACATGATCTTACAATAATATGTACAATGTACATTGTACATATTTTAATATACATTTTAACAAAGTTATAAAAATGTAAACATGTTACGTAATATTCTAATAGTAAGTCAAAAATATTATCAGTATTAAAATGACAACTATTGACAGGGATTAATCTTAATGTTCATGAATAGATAGAATAAGTTACGCACAAACGTTTTAACCGGTACTTACCGATTCCACAGTTATATTTAAATATTACTTAAACCACAGAACAGTAACACTAAATATACTGTAAGTATAAAATCTTTTATGTTAATAAATATAGTTTAAAAAAACTTAAAAACACGCTTTTAAAGCACATCGAACTAAAAAGTTAAAAATAATTTTTAAAATTAACTTAAAACAATAATGAACGAAAAATACTAGTATTATTGTGAAAAAAAGCGTGGGTGCTTTATGCCATATTTTTTGTATATTGAGCACCTGACGCTTTTTTTCACAATAATACTAGTATTTTTCGTTCATTATTGTTTTAAGTTAATTTTAAAAATTATTTTTAACTTTTTAGTTCGATGTGCTTTAAAAGCGTGTTTTTTAGTTTTTTTAAACTATATTTATTTTTTACTTTTTAGTTTCATGTTATAATAGTAGTTAATATCAATATCATGGTTGTAAGGGGTAACGGGAAATAAGGGTTCGATTCCGGAGAGAGAGTCTAAGAAACGGCTGTCACATCCTAGGAAAGCAGCAGGCGCGTAACGTGGAGGTAGTGACGAAAAATAACGATACGAGAATCATCCTCCGTAATCGGAATGAATACACTACATATCTCTTAATGAGAATAAAGTGTATTAATATATAAGTTTTAATAGTAATTAGAATATATATATATTTAAAGGGACTTAAGTACGTAAACGTATCATGCATGAGGTATAGCCGTGTTTATGTGGGCGGGCATGGCGGAGGGAACATTATACACGAGGCATATACGGCGGCAGAGGCGTCGGCTGTAGGAATATATAAATGAATATTAACATATACGTATATACGTATAAATATATATATATATATTAATATTAGCGGTGGCGGTAGGAATATATAATCTTCGCATAATATCGCGGCACTTTTGCTGGCGTCGAAGACGCGATGTCCGGCGTGATCCTCGGGCGTCAATAGGTTAGCAGCGTAGATGACGACGGTGTGCGAGTGCGGATCAGTTTGTTGACGATGTTATTTTGACAATGGGAAGAAGACTACGGTATAGCGGCGGGACGTCGTCGGCCGTGTGTCACTTACTGGATTTTGCACCGCGGCGTAAAACGACTGTGTCAATTACAATAAAAATTTGTTATATATATACATAATTGATGACACGCGCGCGTCTACGGGTTAGAAAATATTATTGTCTACGAGTGGTGAGCGGGGCTGGGGCGAATGCGTTACAACAGTATAGTCTCAAGGTCATACACGACGGGATACGCGACATAATAACACGTGCCGCGTGGAGTTACAAACTTACAAACAACAAAAAACAAACAAACATACAGGTGAAACTAATATAAGCGTGTTAAAAAGGAGTCGAAAAGACACAAGAACAAGAAGAGGAAATTTGGTCAATGGCTGTGTACGAGGTGTGATCAAAAAATACCCAGACTGTATTAATAATATTTATATCAATTAAACTTCTGACGAGAATTTGAGCAGTGGTTTGAAATCGATAATAATATTTATTTTTTTTTTATGGGATTTTTACAAAAACATGTTTCAATCATGCGTCGATTTTCTAAACGAAAACAATAGAAGAACAACGTTTTTGCGTAAAATTTTGTTTTAAATTAAGGAAAAGTTCTGGTGAAACTTTTGAAGCAAACTTTTGGAGATGATATTCTGTCTCGGACAACATGTTTTGAGTTTAAGGATAACGAACGACAAATGAAATTGTTACTCTTGTTTGTGAAATTATTCGAAATAATCGTCGATTAACTATCAGAGAAGTTACAGAAGACGTCGGAATATCTTATGGTTTTTTCCAATAAATATTAACCAAAGAATTGGGCATGAGCCGAATCACAGTCAAATTTGTTCCTCGTCTCTTAACCGATGAACAAAAACAAAACCGAAAGATTATCTCTCAATAACTTTTTGAAAGAGCAGAAATTGACCTAGAATTTTTAAAAAATATTATAACTGGTGATGAAACTTGGATTTACGGTATGATGTTGAAACCAAGCGTCAATCGTCCCAGTGGAAGTCAGCAAATTCCCCAAGACCAAAAAAAGCAAAGCAGGTGAGATCAAATGTGAAAGCCATGTTAATCACCTTTTGTTTATTTTCGTGGTATACTTCATCGTGAATGGGTGCCTCAAGGACAAACAGTAAATCAGCATTTTTATTTAGAAGTCATGAAAAGATTACGTGAAAATGTTAGAAAAAAAAGGCCAGAAAATTGGAAAAGTAGTTGGTTCTTGAATGTTGCATCACAATAATGCCCCGGCTCACAGCTCATTGCTCATTCGTCAGTTCTTAGCCAAAAATCAGACTCCAATATTTCCACAACCACCATACTCACCCGACTTGGCCCCATGCGACTTTTAGTTGTTTCCGAAGTTAAAATCTACGCTCAAAGGATGTCATTTTCAAACAATTGATGACATAAAACAAAATACGGAAATCGATCTAAAGGACATTCCAATTAGTGCCTACCAGGAATGTTTTTAAAAGTGGAAAAGAAAATGGCAGCGGTATATTGCTTCCCAAGGAGATAATTTTGAAGGTGATAATGTGTATATAGAATAATATTGAGTTAATAAACTTTTAATTGAAAAATCCGGGTATTTTTTTATCACACCTCGTATAAGAACACTAAAACGTCAGTAAGTATATTACATAAGTTTTAATATAAGAAATATATAAAAGTGTTAGTATTTACGTAATATTTTTAAAAGTGAAGTTGGAAAATTTTACTTTTTGTGTAAAATTTGCTATTTTAAATCCCTCTATGAGCAGATTCTCAAAAAAAATTCTACCTAAAAAAAGGAAAATACCTAAGGTATTTATACAAAACAAATTGTTTTGGTAAATCTATTTTTTAAAAAGTCATGACAGTTTTTATGTAAAGAAGGTTTAAAAATGTCAAAACTTACTAATTTTAATTTTTCTGAGGCTTTCTACAATTTACAAGAGAACGAGGGAATAATTTTTAATTTTTGAGGATAATGTCTTTAATTAGATACAAATAATGATTTTTTGATGTATTGCTGAGAAAAATCGGTCCACTGAGAAGTGAAAAAAAGTAGCGATAGATACAAAAAATAAATAAATAAAAACATGATAAAATAATATTCTTATCTTCACTTCGAAGCTAAAATTAATAGTAATAATTAAAAGTATAATCAGTCAATTGTAACATTATAAATATACAAAAAGAAAAATCTAAATTAATAATGGTTTAATATTGACCATACTGAGTCATTTTAAGATTGCAAAAATACTTTAATAACAATACAACACTTTGTGTATTTTGTGAAATACGTGTTACTTACTTATAGTACATAGTCACTAATATTTTAGTATTGGTTTAGTATGTATTGGTTTTTTCTCGTGTAGTAAGAGAGTTAAAAAATTAAGAATTCTACGAATTAAGAATATTCAGCTGTATTACATTATGATTTATCCGAGTGCAGTATAAGTACTATTGTATTTTTATTGTTCATAAAAAAAGTTACAATAATATCCAGTACTGAACGTGAAAAGTGAACATAACATTTAGAGTAACCTGGGCTAAAAATAGCTTTTATTTTCTATTGCATATAACTTGAAGTATAATGTATTTATAAACATTTAAATTTTTTTACTATCGAGACAAACTAACAAAAAATACAAATTTAAAATAAATATCGAAAATCTTTAATCGATATATCGAAACAGTATATCGATATATCGATAAGTTCGATATATCGTTGCCATCCCTACAGCTGCGTGATAACATTAATTTTTGTAAGAATCTGAATACATTTGTAAATTGAATAAATTCAAACAAAGTGTGCTTCTGTTATCCATTTTTTATACAATTAATTAATTAAAATGGCTAGAAGAATTGCTCAGTCATCTGTTAATTGGATTGCTATTAGTGAACGTGTTCCTAAAGCTGAAAAAGCTGCTTATTTAGCTTTTAAAGCTAAATCTGATGGGTACCTCCGAAAGTATGTAAAGATCATTCAAAGATCATTTTTGACCGAATTAAATGTTTATCGCTAAATATTTCTTAAATTAAAATTTTATAGATTAATATAATATGATAAATGAGTAAAAAAAAATTATATAAATTTATATTACTAATATATATTTTAAATATTGAATGAAATAATTTGCAGAATGTTTGCATTATCCCCAGAAACACCTAAAATTGATTGGGCCAAATACAAGAATACTATTCCTATCGCTGGTTTAGTTGAAAATTTTGAAAAGCAATACAATACCATTAAAATTCCATATCCTGAAGACGAATATACAGCATTTATTGATAGCTCTGAAAAAAAAACTGTACATATTCTCTTTGTTTATTCATATATATTTTAAATTACTCTTTAAGAAATTGTCTTTAAAAATATTGCATTAAAATTTTAATTTTGTAATGTGAATAAAGTAAAGTGTTGTATGAACTTGGAAAAATAATCAAATTTTACTTTTTAACTAAGCCTTATTTTCGATGAATGCATCATTATTACCATACTCCACATAAATGTTAGGATTGATTTTTTTTTATTGTTGAATTCTTAATGTTTTATTGCCAAAAACAAGGAATAGAAAAATTAGGAAATATTGCTCTATATCTCCTATATGTATGAAAATTCCAAAGTAGGATTAATTTTCTATTATTACTCAGCAAATCGATAAAGAAAAATACACTAGATCATTTTGTACTAGTTAATTAAGAGAAATATAAAAAAAACCTTAATAAGAATTGTTTTTTTTTTAATAGCCGAATAAAAGTAAAAAGAATAAAATTTAAAGGTTTTATTTTTGTGCTTTTAAATTTTACAATTTATTCATATAATGTCATTGTCTAATTATTCTCTTATGAAAATTACAGATGCAGGAAATAGAAGAATTTAAAAAGGTAGCTGCCTCTAATATTAAAGAAGCAGAATTAAGGATCGAGGAAATTAAGAATTTGTTGTCATATTCCCAAATGACTCATGAAGATGCTGCTTATATTGAGCCTGATTTGACATTAGATCTTGAAAACAAGCCATCATTCTGGCCTCATCAAGAAATTGATTATATATTTGACGAGCCACAAGAAGAAGGGTCAGAAAAACAAAGAAAAGTTGAAGCTGGTCATTAAGTTATTCATTTGTTAGATACATTATAATTTTACCCAATTTTCAAAAAAAATTTTGGAATAAATATTTATATAAAAGGAAAATATATTGTATTATTATTATTATTATAAATTGTTTAATTTCATAAAAATTTTAGTCAATTTTACTAAGATTTGATTACAGATAAAAAATTTAGTGTAAAATTGTAGTTATAACTGTTCGAGATTATATAATCTTTTGAGGGCAAAATTACGAGATTCACCGAGCACGTTAAGCGAAGGCGCGCTCTTGTCAGCGGTATTTTTATTACAATCGTGATAATCTCATCTTTGAACGGTAGCGCCACACAAAAACAACCGATACATCACGTGTGGTAGTATGTGTAAACCAGTGATCACAGAATTCATCCTGTGTTGTAGGAAGTGTTGATGGTTCTTCTATTGTCCAGAATTGACGCAACAAACTGTCAACAGGTGTGCTAAGAGTCACGGCAAGTGACGTTAATGGCTGTGGCGAGGTGTCAGTGAGCGAGACTGTACTTACTGATATCCATCCTAGATAGGTGTCAAGCCCGGAGGGTAAACCTTTCATGTGTATGATCTCCGCCTTTGGACGTACAGTATGTGGAAAACATCTCCGCCCAACAACATATCAATCGTATCGGGCGTTTTGAAGTGGAGATCGGCGAACAACAAGTCATGATATTGCTCACGTACTTTCGGTGATAAGCGCGCAGTCGTTAAACAAATGGGTGTATTTATACATTCATTTACGTGCATTATTTCTTAGTAATCTTTCACAAATTTTATACTGAATGAACTTGTACTTTGAGAACTCTTATAAATGGCTTCATTATGCATTATAAAGTTACACTGAAAGTTATACTTTTTTACTATTGTGTTGTAATCAGTATACTTTAATATTTAAACTTTACAACACTTTGTGTATTTTGTAAAATACGTGTTACTTATAGTACATAGTCACTAATATTTTAGTAGGTTTTACATAGTGTTTACTTCTGGAGATTGAAGATCCTCATTTCCCTAAGAGGTTGCTCAAGTCGAATATTCAAGAGCCAAAAAAAAATGTATACATCAAAATCACACAAAAAAAAAAAACAATTGAAAATAATTAAAAATTTGTTTAATTATTTTTCTTCTTCTCTCATTCGTCCCCATACCAACTATTTTCAGGGCAAATCCGCTCTCACTAAAAACTAACAGACTACTGTAAATTAAAGGTGATTGAGTCGTGGATAGCTGCATAGAGATATAAAACAACTTTTAATCTCTATTCTCTGACGAAAAGAAACGATTTACAATCGGCTAAAATTTAAATAATTTATTCCCCATTAATTTATATTATATCCAATGTTTAAACTTAACTAAGTAACAACTACCTACATATTATTATTATTATAGATTTCATGTAACACAAAAAACTATATATAGTAATCTATAAAATTAATTTTTCATAGCTGCGAATAAATTATGAACTACAAATGTGATACTCGTAACACTTAAACCTTAAGAGGTTTAATAAACATCTAAAAGCGTATTCTCTCAGTCATATCGTTGTTTTGTTTGCTTGTATGGCGGCGTCCTCTTAAAGGAAATTTTTTAGAATTGGTTTTTTTTCTTTTCTAATTTCTTGAAAAATGTTTTTAGCAAAAAATGTCATTTTAACCACTCAAGTAATAGTTGACGATCAATTGATTGATTTAAAAAAATTGAAATATTGAATTGATAAATTGAATTTATTCATTGATAATTAAATAAGTATTGATAGATAATAATAATATTTATCTATATGTTATTAAAAAAAAGAAGGGTTTTAAGTATAAATTACCTATTTACTGAATTTTAACCTTTAATGCATATTATGATTTGTTGGTATTAATACGCAACAAGTGATAGTTATACCAAAAAACGACATTGAGTTGTGTTATTCTTACCAACTTCTTATCATTATTATATTTTGGTTACCAATTAATTATACAGTATAACGCTTTTTCTTACCACTAGATGTAACCACATAATACTAAATAACATACATTAAACTAATGCAGTGGTCGTATAAACAACATAGAACTGACGTATTGTGGGAGCATATTTAGACTTACTATTAGAGATGGGATTTTTGACTCACTGATATGACTCAGTTCATTTGAATCAGTTCACTCATAGTAAAATGAATAATATATTCATATATATATATATTCATTTTACTATGAGTTCACTCAAATGAGTTGACTCAGTTATCCCAACTCCCAAATCGTCGAATCTTTAAAGGCGCGATTCTGACTCGTGAGTTGCAGAAGTTTGAGGAACGCGAATTACAACTTGCAAGGCATACTCGTGGAGTGCCTTCTAAATGCGACTTAATAGTTATCTTAGCTAGATTAATATCAATAAACTATTGTTTTACACAAATGTGAATAATAATTCATTTTACTCATTGTAAATAATTATTATTTATTAACTACTATTGTAAAATGAAATGTAATATTGTTATCAATAATTTTTTATTCATTATTTGTTTATATATATATTGGAATTAAATTAAAGCGCGAAAGAAATGAGAATCAAATTCAAATTGTATGTACATTATGGAAAAAGTAGTTGAATATTACTAATTAGTAATTTTATGTGATGATGGGCCTCAAACCCTGATTTTTACCTATAAGACAGTTGAGCTAATTTTAAGTTAAAACTTCTAATCATTCAATAGTTTAATTCCTTTTTTCTTCTGTTAAAATTTTAGATTCTCAATATATACTCACAAAAAGTAATTTATTTGTTATTTATAAAATATTTTTCTATTAAATTGTTTAATATTTTTACTAATTACATTTAAAATTGTTAATTATTATTGAAATAAAGAGTAAATTTAAAATATAGTGGGGTCGTGGCATAGTTGGGTCCAGTATAGATGATATCTGACAGTGATTAAAATCACTATCATAAAAAACGCTTCGATGAAAATCTGTAGAAAGTGTTTAATTAAAAAAAAAAATTTGTTAATATAGCATATTTTTGAATACGGTAGCCATTTGCGCATAGAAGATAGATCGTCGGGACAAATTTTTTTTTTTCATTTAATAGTATATAACATAACCTTTGATTTGATATATGTTTAAAGGACGCAGTATTCCCGGAACAATTTCAAAAGTTCAGTTGAAAAAGATCTATGTTTTTTACAATATTTCAAGTTTTGAACGCCCCTATTTAAGGGGAATTTGTTCAATTTTAATAAAAAGTATGTCAAATGAAAGATGTACTTATAATGTATTTAGAAAAAAAAAATTTGTGCTGATATATACATTTTTCAAAAAGTTATAGCATTTTTAAGTTGAAAATTTAAAATCAAAAATCGAAAATTTTTACAAAACANGCATAGTTGGGTCCAGTATAGATGATATCTGACAGTGATTAAAATCACTATCATAAAAAACGCTTCGATGAAAATCTGTAGAAAGTGTTTAATTAAAAAAAAAANATCTGTAGATAGTGTTTAATTAAAAAAAAAAAATTTGTTAATATAGCATATTTTTGAATACGGTAGCCATTTGCGCATAGAAGATAGATCGTCGGGACAAATTTTTTTTTTTCATTTAATAGTATATAACATAACCTTTGATTTGATATATGTTTAAAGGACGCAGTATTCCCGGAACAATTTCAAAAGTTCAGTTGAAAAAGATCTATGTTTTTTACAATATTTCAAGTTTTGAACGCCCCTATTTAAGGGGAATTTGTTCAATTTTAATAAAAAGTATGTCAAATGAAAGATGTACTTATAATGTATTTAGAAAAAAAAAATTTGTGCTGATATATACATTTTTCAAAAAGTTATAGCATTTTTAAGTTGAAAATTTAAAATCGAAAATCGAAAATTTTAACACAAAAATAGTGTTTTTTTAACTACGGCAGCCGTTTAAATGTAGAAGAAAAAGTGTCGGGACAAATTTTTTTTTTTCATTTTATAGTACATAAAATAAGCTTTAATTTGATATATGTTTAAAGGACGCAGTATTTCCGGAACATTTTCAAAAATTAAGTTGAAAAAGTTATTTTTTGTAAAAAAGTTACTTTTTTAAATCCCTCCCAATGAGCAGGTTAAGTGTTAGATTTTCAAAAAAATGATATCAAATGAAAGGGAAATATCTAAGGTTTCAGTATAAAAAAAAATTATGTTGATTTGTTGATTTTTGAAAAAGTTATGGAAGTTTTAAGAAAAAAAATGACAAAATTTACCGATTTTTAAATTTGTAATTTTTTTGGATATTTCCCCCATTTTCGGGGAACGAGGGAATTTTTTTCAATTTTTAAGGGTAATGTCTCCAACTAGATACGATTTGTGATCTTTTGACGTACTTTTGAAAGAAATCGGTCCAGTGAGAGCTGAGAAAAAGTGGCACAGACATAAAAAAAAAAAACTCATCATAGTAAAATTAATACCTTCTCAGCTTCACATCGAAGCTAAAAGAGAAAATTTTAAATATAAAAAAACTATTTGTTTATTATTAACATCAACACATAGATTTATGTATGTGTTAAATTAAGTATACCGGACCCTAGGTATACAAATACAATGTAGATATTATCAATGTTTAATGTTAAGTGCATGCAGTGAGAAAAATTGGTTTCTTCTCTCATATATTTCAAAATTTTCTTGCATGCAATTACAGGTCTATTCTTGAATGAATTTTGTTTTAAAAACTGACATATTATGTATAATCTAATCTCATTTATTTAAAATTTTACTCAATGTGTCAACGCTGTTTCCTGTAATCACAGTAAATCTTGTGCATAAAATCAAAAATTGTGAAACACTTTATTTAATTTACAAAGGTATTTTATTTCATTTTAAAATGAGTAAATCAAGTGTTATTTGGGATTTTTTCAACTTGAAGCAGATAATATTCATGTAAAGTGTGGACTTTGTCGTATAACATTAAAAAATAATCATTCTTCGACTTCAAATTTAATTGGACATATAAAATCTAAATATCCATTAAATTTTCCATCAAATTTATTAGATAGAAAGACTCAAGTAATAGAGAGACGATTGATGACCCAAATATTGCTCCATTAACTTCTACTTCTGTATGTTAAATCTATACATCACAATTCATGATTCGGAATTTATTAATAAGACGTTCTAAACTAAATTCAATTCTCAGTAGTCCATACTGAGTCATTGAGTCACAGTGCTATGGCACACTGATTCAGCTCGCTCAGTTTACCTAAAAGAGTCAACTCTTTGAGTTGACTTACTCACTCACTACCCATCCCTAATAATAATATAACTGTAATAGTTAATAAACTAAAAAATTCGATAAACCTTCCATATTTTTAACACGCTTATATTAGTTTCACCTGTATTTATGTATGTATGTATGTAACTCTCCAAACGCCACAAGTTATCGCATATTCCGTCGTCTAGACTAGACTGTCATAACGCATTCACCCCACCCCACGCCTCGCTCACAACACTATTCCTATAAAAATTTATTTTTAGTTATCGTACCCGTACACGCGTGCTTGTCATCAATATTATATATATATAAACAAATTTTTATTTTGACTGACCATTATCATCCGCGTGCATACGGCTTACGTATATATTCCTACCGCCGTTTATACCTCAGGTATAACGTTAGTCTGACCCGTCCGCCCACAAAACAAGACTATACCTAATGCATGATACGTTTACGTACTTAAGTCGCTTTACTTGTATATATATATATAAATATATTTTAATTAATATTAAAATTTATATATTAACATGCTTTATTCTAATTAAGAGATATAGAGTGTATTCATTCCGATTACGAGGGATGATTTCCGTATCGTCATTTTTCGTCACTACCTCCGCGTTCGGGAGTGAGTAATTAGCGCGCCTGCTGCTTTCTTTGGATGTAGTAGCCGTTTCTTAAACTCCCTCTCTGGAATCGAACTCTGATATCCCGTTACCCGTAACAACCAAGATATTGATAGTAACTACTATCATAACATAAAACTAAAAAGTGAAAAATAAATATAGTTTAAAAAAACTAAAAAACACGCTTTTAAAGCACATCGAACTAAAAAGTTAAAAATAATTATTTTAAGCTTATTTTAAAAATTATTTTTAACTTTTTAGTTCGATGTGCTTTAAAAGCATGTTTTTTTAGTTTTTTTAAACTATATTTATTTTGATATATCATGAGTTAATAATCGATTGAATAGTATCAATATATTGACTAAAACATCGATATTTTTAAATCGATGTTTTTTGTTATTTCTATAAACTGTTACTAAAAAATTGATAACATACTAAATATGGAAACACATTTTATCATGACGCCGGCAATTAGAAATGGCGGTAAAATTATAATAGCATATAATGTAACAATTCATTTCTTTTGAATTCTATTGTTAATAACATTATTTTGTATTCTTTGTTGTTAGAAAAACAATTCAACGAATCAAATTATTAAACAGAACCTGAAGATATTTTTAAATTTTAAATTAGTTTTTCATTATATTTTCTTTTAACTTTTTGATGAGTTCATGTTAAAATTCGAGCTTTAAAACAAGTTGATGTAGATATTTTTTTTGTGAAGTACTTTATCAATTATATTAACTATGTCAAAAAACACATTGTTCAATTACTTTAGTAAGTCGCCTGGAACACCTAGTTCTAAGGTTAAAGAATCACCTAAACGAGTTGAAACAAAAACTCCCAAGAGATCAGCTCAAAGAGAAGTAGTGACTCCTAAAAATGTTAAGGACAGTTCGAAAAAACCTAAATTAAACAAGAGTAGTACAAAAAAAACTATCGAAAAAAGAAGACAAAAACATGGTATCTTTTTAATGTACATAATAGTCAAGTTTGAGATTCAAATTCTTAAGATTTCGGTACTTCAAAAAATATTTAAGGGGTATTTTTATACTCCGAGATTTTACAAGAAAACAATTTGAGTCTCAACAAAAAATATTAATTTAATGTTTAACTACTTAAAAACTACTTAGCAATTTTTCTTTGCAAATTAATCTTTTCTATAACATTGTTTAAAGATTATTTTTACAATTATAAATTAAAAAATTTGAAAACAAAATGTATTATTTATTTTTAGAAGAATCAGATGAAGATGAAGATATTCAATTACCAAAAAAAAAAAAGCGAAGACTTGCTCTAGAAGAAATCAGTGATGATGAAGAAGATTCCGGAGATGAATATATACCAGGTACAATTATATTGTATACAAATAACTAAATTTTAACTAATTAATTTAGTTTTGAAGAAAAGTTGGAATGGTATTGAATTTAACATGTGATTTTTTTGTGTCTGCTCATAAATATTCACAGCTCTTGTTTGACTGATTTTGCTGATCTATATTATACTGTAACAATACATATCTCAGTTTTTGCAGGTTTACAGGATCATTAAAATAACGAATTTGAATTATTCATGATTTAATACAAGAGATTATTTTACTGTTATAACATAGAATGTCACTACAAGTCTTTTAAAATGTATTTATTAAAAATTGTTCAGAAATATTTATTTTATTATTTTTATAAAAAATTAATTTGGTCAATTTTTGAGATATAAATTGATGCAGTATAAATGATGATCTATTAAAAAAACTGAAATAAATCTAGTTGAAGACATTTTCCTCAAAAGTTGGAAAATTTATTTAATTTTTTTATTAAGGAAAATATATCAATAAATTTATCATTGAAAATGGGCAATTTGGATTTTTTTTTACATTTTTAAATTATTATAACTTTGAAAAACTGAATTACAATAAAACTTTAACAGCTTTTACGACTGACAATTATCATCTTTCATATGATATGCTTTTTTGAAAATTTAAGTGAAATACTATGTTATATATGATGATAGTGAGAATTTCACTTTAAAACAAATAATACATTATATTATTTCATTAAATTTGAGTTCCCACTACTATTTATAAATGTATAATGAATATTAATTATTTGTCTACTGATATAAATAGATGAATGTTTTCATTTCAACTACTTTATATTCGTTTTAAAATCAACAATATTTTTATTCATGTTACAATAATCACCAACTGGCAGAAATAGTATAAATTGCAAATATTAAAAGAATTATATTACATTATTCCCACGACTTGTTAAATACCAATTATTTAGCCAATAAACAAGTAGTAGAAACCAAGCTTAAAATTGTAGCACATAGATCACGTACCTCGTTAAAAATATAAAAAATGCTTAAAATGGGACAGATTTATCAGAAGTGTTCACTTTCACATTCCTCAAATATTTGAAAAAAGTTTCTATTTTTGGTTTCCTGAAAGATTGCAATGTTTGCTTAACACCTTATACAAATCATCCATGTTAGAGTAGTAAACTATATTCTAACTTTTTGAATATTTATGAAATCAGATCTATATCTGACTTATAGTTTATTTAAAAAAAATTTATTATTTAAGTTAATGTATATTCTATGTATAGATAAAAAAGCTACAGTTGAAAGTGAAACGGAATCTGAAGATAGTGTGGAAGAATCTGATGAAGATTCTTTTATTAATGATGACAGTGATGGTGAATCTCCCATGAATAAGGTAGCACAGTTTTTTCTCAGTCACATTACATGCTACTAATCTAAATGAATATTTTAGTATAAACTAAATAATATCAGTTGTCTAGTAACAAGAGAATGCCAGTGTAACATAGTAGGGTGTATAGTCCATTAGTCATATGAAATTGGTTGCAATAAAATTAGTCTTGTAGAAATATTCATTTCATAAAAACTATGATCTTATAAGAATCAAAAATAAATTATTCTAAAAAAATTGTCTTAATAAAGTCATTAATAAAATATATACACAATTTAAACAAATTATGTAAATATTTTAAATACTACAAATACAAATCACTTTAGTCTACAGTTAATTCATAATCTTTAAACAATATTATAAATAATAATTTCTTATGTTTAATAAATTATGAGCTATTACTGAATTATGGCCATTAAGACATTGATGGATACTTTAGATATTATTTTTGATAACCAATTAAACTAATCAGATTTTCAGATTTCTTCTATCATTTGGTACTTCTTTAACTGTAATATCATAATATTAATTATTTTTATATTACAACTATAATAATAGTACTTTTCAATGTATTAAATTTTCTTTTGCAAACAATTGACACAATTTTGCAGTTCTTTCAATAGTTAATATTTAAAATATTTACAAGTATATCCATGTTTTCAATTTTATGCTAACGTTTCAAACTCGTTACAGAGTTCAGACTGATAGTTACAAGTTCGAGTTTATAACTCAACTGTATAGTTACACTCAATTATAACTATAATTATATAATAACAACCTCTGACCTAAAACTATCACTCTGAAGATGAATTTTATAATGAATTAGAAACGCTAACATAAAACTAGACATGGATATATTTGTGAATATTCTAAATAATAAAAATTCATGAATCAACTCATTGTGTTATAAATGTGAATATGTAACACATTCTTGTCAATAATTATCATGAAAAAAGGTCTGCCACTCGCACGAATTTTCAGTACAACTAAAAGTATACTACAAGTTTTGCCGTGGTCAATTTCATAAAACCAATTTATATAAACTCACATAATGGATAGTAAATTTAATATTGTAATGTTTTCCATGTTTAGCATTTGTTTGTTCAAATAAAATTTCTATACCAAGCAGATGTATTATTATTATTGTGTCATTTTTCTTTCAATCATTATAATTCAAGTCATCAAAATATATTATTAAATACTAATAATATTTTTTAGTAGCTTACTAGTAAAATATTACAAAGTAGTATTTTTAATTCAGAATTTAAAACTTTTATCTTGTTTAAATATATTGTGATGTACAATAGTATGTATCAGTTATGTATAAGAATTTTACTGACTATAATTTTAAATATTATTAATGTTATTTCATTTGATTATAATAATAATCAATACTAATGTTTTTCAATTTCACCCCCCTTTCATGGAAGCCTCTTAAAAATAAAATATTCAATTAAGGGGTTATTATAATATAAAGTTAAAAAAATAATGTATATCATTTTAATTTTAGGTTTCAAAATCTAAACCAAAATCTATTAAATCAAACAGAAAATTGAATGGTAAGAAATCATTTGTTTCAAATGTTGAAAAATCAAACAAAGAGGTTAGTTTTTAATAACTCTTAATAATTTTTATTTGATAAGACATTATTCAGAGCCTATTAATTTATGATTTACAAAACTCAATGAATAATATAAATCAAATGTGTGTCATGTGAAGATAAGAAACGGTAACATATTGATTAAAATCACTATCATAAGAAACTCTTGGATGCAAATCTGTAGATAATGTTTAATTTTAAAAGATTGGTGGTTTATTCCAAAAGCAAAATGAATTCCTAGTTTTTGTTTGATTAAATTTAACTGCTATTTGCACATAGAAGATAGGTCGTCAGTACAATTTTTTTTTTTAATTTCAAGTACGTAATGCCTAGTTGAAAAAGTTGACATTTGTAAAAAAAACTTACTATTTTGAATCCTCCCAGGTAAAGGTAAAGACAGGTAAAAGATCAGATTTTTGAAAAATATTATATCAAATAATAGGGAATTACTTAAGGTTTCAATATAAAAAAAAATTATTTTGAATCGTTCATTTTTCAATAATTTATAACAATTTAAAAAAAAGAAATGTCAAAATTTACTGTTATTAAAAATTGTAATTTTTGGGAGATTTCCATCATTTACGGGGAACGAGGGAAAAATTTTCAATTTTTGATGGTAATGTCTTCAACTATATACGATTTAGTTAGTTTTTGTAAAAAAGTTGCTATTTTAAATCCCCCCCAATGAGCAGGTTAAGTGTTAGATTTTCAAAAAAATGATATCAAATGAAAGGGAAATATCTAAGGTTTTAGTATAAAAAAAAATTATGTTGATTTGTTGATTTTTGAAAAAGTTATGGAAGTTTTAAGAAAAAAAATGACAAAATTTACCGATTTTTAAATTTGTAATTTTTTTGGATATTTCCCCCATTTTCGGGGAACGAGGGAATTTTTTTCAATTTTTAAGGGTAATGTCTTCAACTATATACAATTTGTGATCTTTTGACGTATCGTTGAGAAAAATCGGTCGAGTGAGAGCTGAGAAAAATTAGTGACAAACACAAAAAAATAATCACATCATGGTAAAAGTAACACCTTCTCAGCTTCGCATCAAAGCTAAAAAATTTATAACTACAAAGTAGTCACTTAATATTTTAGAATTTTGTCGAATTAGAGATAAAAGGCTTAAAAAAATAGTATTTAATATTGAAAATGTCAAAAAATATATATAAATAAAAGAATCCCTGATAATTTTAATAATAATGCAATATATATATATATTATAAATATTTTTTAATAGATAATCAAGGGAGTTGTAGATCATGATAATTGGCCTCATTTAAAATTGGAGTTTTTGAAATCTGACAAAATTAGAGATGCTAATCGAAAATCACCATCTGAACCTAATTATAATCCTCGTACATTATTTGTACCAGAAGATTTCAAACAAAAATTAACTCCGGTAGTTATCTAAAGATGAAATAAATATTTCATGACAATATTAAATTTGTATAACTCTACAATGAATTATTTAGGCTGTCCGTCAGTGGTGGGAACTTAAATCACAACATTATGATTGTATACTTTTTTTTAAAGTTGGGAAATTTTATGAAATGTATCACATGGATGCAGTAACTGCTGCTAAAGAACTTAATCTTTTGTATATGAAGGTAAATATTTAATAATTTTGTGCAATTTATTCCATTTTTCAGAAACAATTCAAAAAAATTAATTGAAATAAATATTTAGATCATATTTAGTATTGATAATTATCTTTGTTTTTCTAAAATACAGGGTGATTTTGCTCATGTTGGATTCCCAGAAAGTGCATATGGTCGATTTTCTGCTATTCTTGTAGAAAAAGGTTATAAAGTAGCACGTATTGAACAAACAGAAACACCTGATATGATGTTAGAACGCTGTAAAACTTGTAAGCTAATTTAAATATATTTAAAAAATCAGGAGGTTTTTAAGTTTTCTGAATAATATTTTGATATTTCAACATTTCAATTAATTATTTTAGAAATTAGTCTAGTACAAAACCTAAAAATGTGACAGACTTGATTTTTGAATATTTGTTTATTAATTTAGCTATTAATTTACTGTTCTTTTTTTACATTCTTGTATATGTACATTGGTATACATTCAAATTTGAATTGGAAAGGGGGAATTTAAGAATTATTCACTCATAAAAACTTCTCAATTTTATTACAAAATATAAATTTTAATTTCTATCTTTTTCTTTGATTTTAAATTACATATAAATATTAATAATTAATATATCAAATAAAATTTTTAAACATCTTAATCATTGGCAGATAGTTGATATTCAATTAATTAAAATATTAGCCATAATTATTAATTTGAAATTACAGTAATTATCTTTCTTAAGAATATTTTTTTTTAACTTGTTTTTATTATTTTTTATATTATTGTAAAATAGTTCTGAATTGGCCAACCAGTAAAATAGTGGTCTCTTCCAAATTTACCTTTTTAGCTTCAGATATAGTGATAAAATAAAGTAAAGGTTTGGTCTACTTTAAATAAAAGTTAATGAATGAGACATTAAGAAGTCATAGAAATACAAAAACATTAGAAGCCATTGAATCATTTTTTAATTCAAATGTTAAAAGATGATATAACGTGTCTAGTTGAAGCTATCAGCACCATAATTTAAAAATATTCCCCTCAATTGCCATAATAAAGAGAAATGTCCTATAATACTACATTTGTTATAAAACAGTCAATGTTAATAATTTTAGTTTTAATTTTATATTAAAATAACTTTTTGTTAACTGGACAGATTATTGCAAAAAAATTTTAATAATGCTTCAGACATTTGCATAACTTTTGACATAATTTATTTAAAAATCCAATCATTAACCAAGCTATTTAACTATGTTCTAAAAACTGACTTCTTTAATACTTCATCAAATTTAAGCTAATACAATGCAGTGTAAGATGAAAAAGATATAAATGATAAAAAAGATGTTGTAAAAACTTCTATGAGTAATTGACCTCTTAAGTCAAAAATCATGTAACTTTGATGGATATGTTACATATATTTCTTAATTTGTTTCAAATACGTATCTAAGCAATTAAAAATAGTGATTTCAATCGGTATAAGATATAAATCAATATTAATCTAAAAAAATTTGTCAACCCACTATACCGAATCGCGATAGTAATAAAGTGTTTATTTATTTATCAATGAAAATATAAAAATAAGAAAGAAAATATAAATGGTACACAAAGTGATTTTAAATTACATTTAAAAATTATAAATTACAAATACAAAATATTAAATTTAGTAAAAATCTAATAACAAACATCTAATTTAATTAGATTAAATAGTTCTACTTTATGTGAAATCTAAATTAATTTCATATCATATTGACAGAAGATTGATTGGATACATAGGCAAAACTTTTATTATAAGCATTTATGTAAAAAGATTTTTGTCCCTAGTTTGGTATAAATTTATACTAAATTGAATTAAATCTAATATATCAGGTCAGTCAATAGAACCAGATTTAATTTTACTTAAAAATTAAATAATAACCATGTACGCTAACAACTAATGTTTTAAATTTTGAACTTTAAAATCACTATTTAAAATGTACATTAAAAAATTGATTTGGATCTTCTCAAAATTAGAATATATCCAACTTTGTTGTTTGACGAGAATAATTCACAATATTCCTATTTTGGTCAGACTAATGAACAATAAAGTATTTAAAGAGCCATAGTATAGTTGAAAGTACAATATGTGTTATAAAATCAAAAGACTTCACAGAATTATTTTTGGATGCCCATTATATGGGAGTTAAAAGATTTTTTTATCATATAAAGCTCCTTAGTCTATTGAGATTTTAAAATTTTGAAGTCTATTATTTGAGGTGGAATAATTAAATATAATAGGTACTTTTTTCAGATGAAAAAAAATAACTACATTTATTAATGTTTAAATATAGATAATTTGTTATATACCATATATTTAAATTATTAAAGTTTTTTTCGAAATTGAATATAATCATTTAAATTATACATTTCCTTGATTAGTTTTGTATTATTGACAAAAATCTTTTGAAAAAACTTGTTTTGAATAGTCATAAATTGTATTTATGTCATAATTTATGTTTTCATTTTTACACTTGATAGGTTTCTAAATTAGTTAATTCAATTACTCTGAGATCTATTTATACTTAATATCTAATTCATTTAATATATTTTATGTTATTTGTATATTTAATTTTATAACATATAACATTCATGATATTATGAAACATAGTCATGTTTATGTATCTGTTTTTTTATATATCTTTAGTAAAAAAAACAACTAAGTTTGATAAAGTTGTTCGCCGTGAAATTTGTCGAATCACTACCAAAGGTACGAGAACTTTTGGTGTAATTGATGGTGAAACCAATGATCCAGAAAATTCATTTTTAATTGCATTATCAGAAAAAGTATATTTAAACATTTTGAATCAATTAAGTAAAATTTCTATGTATTTTTAAACATAACTTAGGAATTAAGTCCATCTTCGTCCATGTATGGAGTATGTTTTATAGATACCTCAATTGGTCTTTTTTATCTTGGGCAATTTGAAGATGATTGCCACTGCTCAAGGCTAAGAACATTATGTGCACATTATCCTCCTGTGCAGGTTAATATTCTTAAATTTTTTATGTAAAAGTGTAAGGTTTTGTTTAAGATTAAAAACTTAAAAAATTATTAAATTATTTATTTTAAGATTTTGTTTGAACGTAATAAATTATCGCCACATACTAAAAAAGTAATAGATACTATGCTCTCAAGTGCTATAAAAGAGGCTTTAATTCCAGAAGTAGAATTCTGGTCTTCATCAAAAACATTAGTAACATTAACCGAAGGAGATTATTTTAAGAAAGATAATAATACAGTATATCCTGAAAAATTAAAGGAATTCCTTGGATGTGGTATGTTATTACATTTTAACTTTAAAATTAAGAGGTTTAATAAAATGATTGAAAGTTCAACTTTTTCAGTAAATTTATTTTATTGTTTTGGAATAAAGTGTATATTAATCAAAGTTAAAATTTGTTTCTTAACTTTATATTAATTTTTTTTTTTAGCTACAGATTGTGAAAAATTTTTATTTTGTTTGAGAAATAAAACTAAAATACTGTTCTAGATTCAAAATTTTTTTAATGATCAAATAAAGATTTCTTTTATTTAAGAATACCTGGGTTGCCTTTACCCAGATAAACCATA